TATAATAATGAAAAAAAAAAAAAAAAAGATGGCCAACTTCTGTAAATTTAGACAAGGGAGGGGGGGGGACCTCAAGAAGATAACTTCATGAACTAGTACAAAGGTCCATTCGAATCACTTCACTTCTAACACATTTTTTGTCATCTTACATGTACTAAGATGAACATATACATATATACACATATCTTATATATATATATATATATAAAAGGGTTGGATTAGAAGATGTTATCAATTACTTAGTTTAAGAAGTTCTTTTTTTTTTCAACAAAATATAAACTAATTTCATATCTATCAAAGAAAATCAAACTATATGTTATCATCCTATCTGTTAATTAATAGAAATCATACAACAAGTTTTGACATAAAACAACAACAACATTATTGTCCAAACCGCAATTAACAAAGAGAGAGATAGAGAGAGAGAGAGAGAGAGAGAGAGAGAGAGATCATGAGAAGTTGTTTGAGAATGATATTGATGACATACGATTGAGGTTCTTACAGTAGATGGAGTTAGAGAAATCAACGCACATATGTGCATCCAATGAAGGAATTTCGGACACAAGTTGCTCAAGGCAAAGAATCTCTGCAAAAGAGTATTGATGGCAGTGAAGACTTTTCTTCTTCTTCTTCTTCTTCTTGTAATGTACCAAAACCTAAACGTTTCATTCAATGGTTGGTCCATAACTAGCTTGACACTCAAAGCAACCAATGGAAAATAAAATAAATTACTTACATTTAAGTTTCTATTTATTTTATTTTTTGTAAAAAAATTGTTTCTTTGGTGCAAATGTTATTGGTTGTATACTTTGGCAAGAACCATCTTCATTCACATAACCCACTATAGTAATTATTTCTTCCAATAAGAAAAAAAAAGTGTATTTTTTTTTTGCAGTCCGTGTCAACTGCTTCTAATAATTGACACAAATCAGAAAAATATTTTAAAAAAAAAGAATATTGTTTTCTAGATGTGATTAATTTTGTTCGAATATATATAGTTTTAGATACGGTAATTTCCGTATTATTCTCAATAAAAATAGAATTCATTATAACGCATCAAAAATTAATAACATGAAAGAATCCGTATCCAAATAAACATATGTATTCTCTCTTGTATTAGAGTGTATTTTTTTTATAAAGTTTGACAATCTAAAATCTTGGAATTTTCTCATAATTTAATATATGATATTTATTATTTTTCATGTGAAAATTTCATGCCAAATATTCCGTATGCCTAAAGGTAGGCAATGATAGTAGTAGCATAAAATGTAGGCATTTTAGTGCATAAGTGTGATGCGAGTGTGATGAGAAGAAACGAGAAGGTGGGGGCCACTTGTCCATTGTACATAAGTTATGGGTTTTATGACAAGTGAAAGATGGTGAGATATTGCATATGTTTTTCTTCTTAGTGACCCCCTTAATTGAAAATTTTATGTAATCTTAAGGCTTTTTTTTTGTATGTATGTATGTATGTATGTATGTATGTATGTATGTATGTATGTATGTATGTATGTATGTATGTATGTATGTATGTATGTATGTATGTATGTATGTATGTATGTATGTATGTATGTATGTATGTATGTATGTATGTATGTATGTATGTATGTATGTATGTATGTATGTATGTATGTATGTATGTATGTATGTATGTATGTATGTATGTATGTATGTATGTATGTATGTATGTATGTATGTATGTATGTATGTATGTATGTATGTATGTATGTATGTATGTATGTATGTATGTATGTATGTATGTATGCATGCATGCATGTATGTATGTATGTATGTATGTATGTATGTATGTATGTATGTATGTATGTATGTATGTATGTATGTATGTGTTCGATGCTTATGTCTCCAATCTTCTCAAAAAGAGGTCAACAAGCTCATGAATAGTTTCCCCACTATCCATATGCATATATGTATCATGAGCTTGTTTCCCCACTATACATATATATATGTATGTGTGTGTATGTATATACACGTGCATACACTCTCTCTAGGGTTTAATTATAGGTCAATAACTCTGTCATTTTCATATTTCACATTCATCACAAGGAGGTTTGCATTAGTCGGATATTATCAAAGCAACATATATACCTGCCACTTATAAACACCGAATTAATCGATATATATATATATATATTCTGTGGCAAGAATAAAAAGACAACTGCATCTCCATGTATAGATTATGGATTTGGATAGATATTTAATGAATGATTACAACAGATTAATTTGTACTTAATATCTATATAAATTGATTATTAAAATGGAGTGTAAAGTAATCCATATAAATTTCGAAGGAAAACAAAAATGTTAGTGACTCTAGTATAGTGTATCATATATATGCTAATTAACATTTTCACATAAATGAATTGAGAAGCCAACTTATAATGAGGAACCCAAAAGGAATTTGAAAAGCACCAACCGGTTTCAAATACAAAAATATCAATGTCAAATATCAAAATCAAAATTAGAAACAATTATTATATATATATATAAGAACTTAAAATATGTGGAGAGTTGACCAATAGTGACAAGAAATGTTGGTGTGGCAAAAATGCTCCCTCTTTTAAGATAAGCCTCTCCCATTTGCATTTCTTTCTCTTATTTAAAAAAAAATTGTGTTAAAATTTATAGTAACATTAATTAATTTATCTACCATGTGAGTTTATAGAATTATGCTGATTATGAATGAATGTGGAGGATACACTCCAATAGACGTTAAATTATAGACACATATTAATTAACAAGAATTAAATTAGTAGGATAATTTCACCAAAAATATATTCCAATTACATGGATCTTAGAGGAACTCTTAAAATGAACAATAGAGAGAAGAGTTTCACTTGATTTTATTTACATTGAATATATATGTCCAGAAAAAAAAAAGAGGAAATGGAATACACATTATCAATAAAATTGGTGTAAAGTAAAAAAAAATATAAATTACAAAAAAAAATGTGAAAACATTACTAAAAATTATAAAAGAAGCTAACCATAAAAAAATATTCTGTCTATATATAATTATAGCTATAAACTCTTAGGAAACTTGGTTTTGTATGGAAATTAATTAGACCACCTAGCTAAGCTTATATAAATATGAAATTCATGTCACACACACACGCGCCATCTCATATTCGACAGATAAAGAGAGATTAATAATTAATAGACAGACAGTTTAAGAAAATAAAACTAAGATGATGTTGAATAGATAATGATAAAACACTACAAAATATGACGTGGCCTTTAAATATTGTTTCCAATGAGATAAAATTCACCGAATCATCGGCATAAACTGGAAATTCAAAGGCCTAATATATTAAGAAATCCAAATGATCGGAAAAATCTTCGCCCAGGTTCTCTTCCCCTCGTCCCACCGAAAAAATCCATCGTCCGACACAAGAATCTTGCAGGCGTCCGTACACTCCATATCATCTTTGTCCGAATCGTACAATACGTACGGTCTCTCTTGTCGTGTGAAATGTGCCTCGTCGTAGAATGTCCCCACACACGTTGTCGGCCGCCACACCTTCTTCTCCGCCGCCGGTGAGGCTGAGGTTTCGCCGGGAAGTTCTATCGACGTGTTTTGACCCAACGGTGCGGATTTCGACAGCCTGGGAGGGTCGCACGTGACGTAGACCGGTATGTGTGTGTATGTGTATATGTATGTTTGGATAAATAATTTATGGATAACTAATCACGACGTTTACATCTTTGATGCTAATTAATTAACGAATACCCTAAAACGGTTGTAATTAAGATTAAAATGTTTTTTTTTTTTTGCGATGGAATGAAGATTAATTTAGATGGTTTCAATACAAAAAAGATTAATTTAGATGGGATATACAATTACAAGGGGATCTTCCCCGGTGGGTGTTGCCCCATGGGCTTTGACATAGTTACAATGGGCCTACTATTGGGCCCAATAACTCGATTCATGGGTTTACCTATATTTCATCTATTTATTTTCACATATAAAGTATGAACCGCTGACTAAAACAAGATAGGCTCTTACAAAAGATAAATTTTATTGTCATTTTATTTATTGATCACTATATACATATATATATATATATATATCTTATATTTCAGTTTTTTAATACAAAATTTAACATAATAAACTATTAAATCAAATAAAAATATAACAATATATAAAATTTGCTGTGATGTAAAATTTTCACATTCTTTAATTCAAAATTTTCAAAAAAAGGAAATAATTGTAATTAGTGGTCAGACCATAGGCCTCCTTAAAGAATTCTTTAGGATTTGTTCTTTTGTAATATCATATCTTGTTTCTTTTCTATGCTTTTGTCAGTTTGTGTACTATTAGGATATTAATTTTGTTTTTTTAATCATATATAGTTTAATTATCCCTTGATAAAACTCCACAGCCATATTATTTTCCTAAACATAGCAAATTTTCTCCGGGATATAAAAAAATAATATACCTAAAATTAACAAAATAGTCTAAACTTCACGATTAAATATTTGCATGGGCATGAGAATATAAGGAATGTTTTTTTACGTATGAATCTTCTTTCCTAACAGTGACCAGAACCTACCTTAACATTGTCTGTTTCAGACCCAAAAAAAAAAAAATCTGTGTTTATACAAAAATCCAAATCTTGTCCACTCTCAAGGGCTTCAATTCCGACAACTGAAGAGCTGAACTAACCCCTCTTGTCTTCGGTCCTGGAAAATGAAAGAAAGGATTCGAGAGTCGATTCCATGATACATACAGAGGACACAAACACAAACAGAGGATCTGAAAAGGGAATTATAAAAGCTACCTGGAATGATGAAGTTTGATCATGTTTCAATCATCAAAATTGTCATCTGCTGAATTTTCTTGGCAGAGAAACGTGTTATCTTCGACTGGATTTGAATCAACTGTCGTCCATCCTGTTGCCTCGTCTCCCTGTGTGTTATTCTCAGCTTCTTCATTACAAAGAATCTCTGCTCCTTTGTCTTCTTCATCCACGGCGATGGCCTCAGGGTTCACATCCGAACCCAACTCAAACCCGGATTGATCTTCGTTCCCGTTATACGCCACAGTTACCGCTCCCTGATCTGCTTGATCTTGTTCCTTTTTCGGCCTCTTCCATTTCTTGGTGGATGAGGTTCCATCATCTTCGAAATCTTCCTCTTCTCTGTCTCTGTGGAGGTAAACCCACAGTTTCCGATCCGAGTCGAATTGCACGCAGGGATCGCGCTCGTAGTGCAATCGATCCAATGCCCCGCTCACGACTTGATTCACTTGCGAATCCGTCACATCCTCCACAATGTACTGAGAGTCTCTTATCAGCGTGCAGACATCGGCTCTCGTTCCGATACTACCGGGCAATCTGGCTGCTGCATCTCGGACAAGACAGAGAATGGTTACGTGTGGCGGTCTGTCACGTTTCAGCATGAAATGGTCCCGAGCTTTCGAGGTGGGTTTGCCCCCACCTCTTCTCAGAGGAGCGACGATCGATTTTTTGCCATCGGCGGCTGTGTAAGCAAAGGCTCTGTCGGGAATAGAGTACCTGAGAAATTCCTCCCGGCGGAAATAAGCTCTTGCTTCTTCGGAACTTGGGGTTATAGTACTCAGGCTCTTCTGGGCTCTCAGGTCTTTGAACCTTTCTTTCTCATCGAGATTACACTGCATAAGCGACAATGGCGGCTCGGGAAGACTTCCTATTTGCTGAAGTGTTTCCTGGCCATTTTTCAGCCAGTTTGCGAAAGAATCAACCAACTTGACGACCAACTTTTGCGGAAGACCCCAAGCTTCGGGCGACGTTACCTCCTCGGCATTCTCTTGATCGGATGACGAAGCTGTACGAGGAAAGGGGCCAATCCAACTCCAGCTTTTCGTGGGTTTTTCATATGCTACAAGTGGTTTCCAGCCTTTCGCCCCTAAAGGCGAAGTTTTCGATGAAAAGATCTTGAGAACCCCTCTAACCAAATCTTGAAGTGGCTCTTGTGTCTCGAGGATGGAAGGATCTCCAGGGTTTGATCTCACACGGCTAACAATCTCCTGCACCGTGAGGGACGGCATCATATCCCCTTTCCGCTCTGAATCCGCATCCTTGGATAAGGGAATCCCATTATCACCGGTTTCTTGCTCTGCTCTCGGTAATGAATCTTCCTCGGGACGTGGACTTAACATTGCCATACGCACTGCCGTGAGAAGATGGATGATAGAGAAAGAGAATCCTGTGTGAACTGTCGGTGTGATCAACACAAATGGCTTCTTCTGTGGCTTGGTTTCAACCTCCATTTCTATCGCTTTAGGAGTTTCAGAAGTTTCTCTATTAGGGGAACCAGCATTAGCCTCCATTTTCATTTTTCCCTTTCTTTTCGAGGAAGTAAAACCATCAACAGGTTGCGGATCACCATTGTCGTCCCTCCCCTCCGCCTCCATAAAACGTTCTCTCGTCCTTCTCTTCTTTGAGACAGAGCTGCAGGGCCCAAATAGCACGGCCTCTGAATCGTGGTCGTCATCCTCATCAAAGCCTTTTCTCTTTCTCTCGGCCAAATTTAGCTTTGCCGATGGTTTTTGCAACCGGGCAGTCAATTCCTCCCGTTGTTGGCTATTCTTGACATCTTTTTCCTTCAACTTACCCAAGCCCGAGACCTGGTCATCTCCAAAATCTTGGCTTGCAATGTTATTTAAGGGACCGCTTTCACAGATCTTACCCTTCTGTTTCACCTTGAAAGAATGCTTTTTGCCCCCTGGTGTATAGATGTGTTCCTCTGGCGTGGTTATATGCTTGGAGTAAGCACCCCTTCCATTACGTGCCCATTCGTTTTCATCCATATCTTTCTTCCCGAGTTTGCCCTTTTTACCATCTCTCCCGGCTTTGAGTATGTGTAATCGAGAACTATTCATTCTACCACCTGGGACAGCTGATTCATTCAACATTGAGGGATTTCTTTCTTCCCCGTCATCGTATTCCTCAAATGAATCTGATTCTGTATCATCATTTCCCATGAACATTCTGCTATCTCTATATGATGCTGACCCACTATGTCTTCCATTCGGTATCACATTCACCCTAATCTTCTCCTGTGCCGGATTCTCGCCCAAATCCGAATTCAAGAACCTTTCATTCATCTGTTGCAGGGAAGCTCTGTAAGATAATCTAATTTCGGGTGACTCCCTATTAGACTTATGTTTCTTGCTTCTACCATTCCAATCATCAGATATAAAGGTGGGATCAACAGAAAAGCCATCTCCATGGTTCTTGCCATACCGATATAAGTCAGCACGAAGATCTGCTAGGCTTCCTTTCAAAGGGGGCTGAAGGAAATGTTCTCTTAGGGGCTTCATCTGATTTACAAATGCACGAGGCTTACTACTGTCAGCATATTTACCTTGAAGCTGCTTTGATGCATATGATGGACCCATCGTTACGTGTTTAGAGCCCGATTCTCTATCTCTGGAAAAGTTGGGTTTCTTTCCCAGTCTCGAGAATCCAGAATTTCCGGTGATAGTGATATCGTGATCATGCCTTGAACCCATTCCAAAGACCGGATCATCACCATCATCATCATCATTATCATCAGCGTCATCATCACCATCATCGACTGGCATACGATCTTCTGACCCAAAACCCAACCCCGTACCATACCTCGGCCTATGAAGAAGTGACAATGTGCTGTGTGGACCTGAGTTCGCACCAGTAAACTTTGAACTTGCTCTCTTTGATATGCCTTTTGAATTCAGTCTGCCATATCTATTCTGTTCTAAAGCCATAGATTGCCACCGAGAAGCCAACTCGAACTCAGGTTCAACACCGTACGCAGAACGACGGTTCAATTTGTTCAGTGCAGACTTCCTATCTTTCACCTTTCTCCCCCACGCTGCATTAAACCGTTCTTCCTTTTCCGAGGAATCCACCTCAAAATCCTCCATTTTCTCACACATTAGATTCTTTTGGCTTTTTACGATATTCAAAACCCGGAGCTTCTCATCAACGCTGTACCCTTTACAGTTCGCCCAAGAATCCCTTATCTGACAAAGATTCACGACCAAATCATTGTGATACTTCCTAAGCTTATGATAATGCTCGGTCCTCATGAATAGGTTACGACTCTCTAGGTAAAGGGCGTTTCTTGGCTCGCATTGACCGCCCTTCAACATGTCAAACAGTTTCTTGATAGGGCTGCCAAAGTGGAAATTACAACCCTCGAAAAGCTCCTTCAAAGTGCGCATAAACGTGAGGTGATCCATATCGGGTAGATGCTTTGAGAGACAAAGCCTCTCCTCCTCAGATAGACACTCGTTCCACACTTCAACCGATAATATATATTCGAGACCTGAGAGATCATATAGCTCGAAAGGAATGCTACACGTTACGTTTCCCACCTGGCAGAACTCGGCCCCAGTTTCCGCCAATTCGAGCAAATCAAAATCATCAGAACCTGCTCCAGAATCAGCATCATCAAAGTCATCATCTTCTTCATCATCAACCTCATACTCAGAATCGACAGTAGCCGCCGAGATTCTACGTTGAAGGAGCTCTCCTTCATCACTTGACATGGTTTCACCACTGCCGTGAGAGAACTCTGGATCAAACCTAGAGAGCTTGACCTTGCTCTTCTCAATCGCCATCCCGCATACGCATAAAGCACCGACTCACTCCCCAAACTAGGTAGCGACCTTTATTTATCAAAACTAACGAATTTTCATCGACGGAAACGGTAACCCTAACACATAAGAAGCACAAAAACACAAACCCAGAGAGCAAAATTTCAGAATTCCATCAAAACCAGTACATAGTGTCGTTACCCGTCAGTATCCATTTCAACCAAATTAGAAGATTTGATCAATCAGATAATCAAAATACCTCAATGTTTCCCCAGAGATCGAACAAATTGGAGCTCCGAAGCATCTGCTGCCGCAAAATTCAACAGGTCCAGAAGAAAAGTTTACTCCAAAGGAAACCCTAGAGAGAAAACCGTATAAATAACTCGAGGAACTATAGATGAAAGAGAGGATTCGAGGGTTGGAGAAGACGAAGATGACGTGGACGGAAGCAGAGCCGTCGGATTACAGGCTGATATGTGAAAAGACGAAAAAGGACAGCCCCAGAGAGAGAGGGGCACAGGAGGAAGAAGAAGACGGTTGAATTTTTGGAAAAAAAAAAGGGTTGTCGGGGAAAGCGACGAGTGGGGAGAGACGAAGCGACTCAGTGAGTCCATATGAGTCGACTCGGAGCGAGTCGTCGCTGGGAGAAGGACGATCGACGAGAGAGATGCCCATTTAGGTCCACGTGTCATGGGTCCCACGCTCTCCCTTTTGAGTACGTCGTCGTTTTGGTGGAGTCACAAAAAATTGGCCATGCATATGTAAATTCTAAATGAACGTACGGCTTGATTCTGTTAATCTCTCGTCAACTAATGCATGGGAGATATGTACATTAACATATATCTATACGATACGATTATTCCAATTGAATACAACACAGAATATTTAATATGGAAAATAATTTAAAAATATAAAATAACATTACGTTACGTACATATATAAGGTTTGTTTTCGCTGTACAGATACAGTCATATATATATATATATATATAATCGGTTAAATTTGGATATTTAAGGAAAGAGCTTCCTATTGCTCCTCATACCAAACGACGGAGGCGGCGGACGGCGACGGACCGGATGCTGACGTGGCCGCCACGGCTGCTATGCATATGCCGTTGGGCTGCGAAAAAGGAATGGGCTTTTATTAGGCCCATTAATAAAATTCTTACAACATATTTAAAAAACAATTTTAATATATATATATATATATAAGAAAAAAATAATATTTAAAATATATTTTTAAATAGAATTGGAAATAGATAAAACAATAAAATCATAGATGTTTTGAATATAGACTGTTTTGGATTTGTAAATTATCAAAGTTTTAAATATGCTTTTTAAATAGTGATATTTTTTGGATATTTTTCTTTTAATGCCAAAAGGAGCCTAATTTTTTTTATATATATGTTATACGATGTCAAATACATTTCTCCTAACGAATGAGTCGTTAAATCTAATTATCACTACGGTGAAATCATATATTAGGATTAACCTATGAAAATAGAGCTTATCCTTATAGCCAAGGGTTTTTTTTTTCCTTCTTATGGAAACGGCAAAATTCGACATTCGATGATGAAATGTTTATATTTTTAATTAGATGATTGTGAATGTATGAAAATATAACTATATATATATATATATATATATATTGTGATTTGGGTATTTTATGATATGTTAGTGGGGTAGGTAATATGATCATGAAGTTCATGAAATGTCCAAATTATTAAGCAAAGTGGTACGTGTAGGCATTAAATTGGGATGTACAAAACCGGAAAGAGACAAAAGAAGAACAAAGGAATGAGACAAATTTAAAAAAAAAAAATTCAGAATATCTTTGGCATTTAATGAAACTATATGATGATACACGAACTGAATATTTGTCACATGACGGTCCTTTTCATTAACCGATTTTTGTTGGATTTTCCTTAGGTTATATATCCGAAAATAAAATGTCTAAAAGATCTACTTTTGAATTTTGATTTCATAAGGTTGGTTATCGTTAACCGAATTTGGATACAACTTTTGTAATTTATGGACACTGAAATATCATAATGTTATTTTACTGTTATAAATATGAAGATAAAATTCGTTTGATGAATTCAAAACATTCATGTGTTTTTAATCGAAAATGACAATTTTGAACTAAAACCATAAAAAAAAAATGTATTCGTTTTATATGCGAAAAATATCCAAATATATTTTGGAGATATGAAGCAATGATATAAGATTGGATTTCAATATGTTTACCTAAAAATGTTCATATCCAAATAACTCCAAAATCTCCGATCAAAAACCACCTATAATACGATTATTTAGAATCTGTATTGTATATTAATAAATATTATGATTTTGGTAATGTATTGATATTAAGATTTCAAAAGAATTACATTGTGTGTGTGTGTATATATATATCACATCTACAAAGATATAGATGCGGGTAACGTAGTGTAGTGATAATAAGATCCTAAAAGAATTATTATATATATAAAAATTATTTTGACTAATCATAGTTCTAGAATATCCACATATATAAAAGGGCACATCCCTACATCGACGCGTACGCGTTATGATTTTCTTCCTTGGCAATGCGTGTGATGTTACATTTTTGTTCACGTTAATTTGCTGACGTTGATATTATATATTAAGAAGTAATACGCATCAATGTAAAGGTGGGCAGTAACTTTCTACACCCGTACATACGTATAGTGTACGTATAAGTGTATACATACAAGCATACACAATATCTTTGAAGTACAAATCAAAGGTTGGTACAACTACATTGTGAACAAGAAGAATGATGCACCATTCTTCCCTCCATTCTAATCAAACTTCTCTTTATATGCTTATAGTGTATATATGTATATTATATATCATGCACATTATGCCATAGTACATGCACACGTGTATGTGTGCGTGTGTTTCGAATGAATCTTGAAGATGAATCAAATATTAGCAAAATATGTCCAGTTATATACAGAAATGATATGCACTATTTATGGAGAGTGAACTACCAACTAAATATTGTTAAGACTGATAATGATAAGATTACTAGTCATATTTCAATCTACTTGCGACGTCAACTTGTGTTTCCATTATTATACATGTCCATCCGACATGTATACATACATACATCATCTACATATGTGTATACATACACACATACACATACACATACACATGCATGCACACACGCACAAACATACGCAAGTGCATACATATTTACATACATACATGCAGACAAATACACACGTATGCAGCATGTATACATACATATACATAATACATGCATGCACACATAGATAGAGATTGTAGACTAATAAAAATGGCATGCCTTTGTGAGCAAGGATACGGAGGAGTTAGGTCATTTGCTTGGGGAAAAACCGGCGTCCATTGAGGTTTCCCCACTGTTCGTCATCTCCATGAAACGGATTTGATGTTTTAACCCTAATTTGACCTTCTCTGATAGCTACCCTCTCTCTTTTATTGCTTCATCCCCAAGCAATCCATATATTGTTCCATTATAAAACAAAGTACCCACCTGAAACAAATGAAAGTAATCATCCCTTAATTATAAAATATTTTCGCTGACTTGTCAAGCAGAAATCAATGACTTACAAAACATGGATTTTAACCGAAGTTAAGTAGAAGTGAAACAGGAAACCGAACTATGAACTAAAACAAGCTCTTTCTTGAACCTTAGTCTTGTCTTGAAAAGGAAAAAGGGGTCAAAGTGTTTGGATTATCTTTGACACCACTCTTTAGCTGTTCATGGTCTAACAACAGGTCAATATCAGAGTTTCCATACAAGCGATGAGCTTTTCCACCAATTATTTTCCATCTTTTTCAATTATAATTCTAATATTTTTCTACCGCATGTTTCAAGCAAAGACCTAATCTCCTTCCTATATATTATTACACTTTGGTACGAAACCCATCAACCCATCCACAAGGGAGGGAAAAAGAACAGGTGAATGTTTCAGTAATAAATTAATAATCACCTGTTCATTGAGGAATGGCGGTTTCCACAGCGTCTCAGCTCTTCTTCTACGCGTTTGCTTGCATTCTCATAGTTCTTCCTCGGCCTGCATTTGGAATCACAAGACATTATAAGCTCGAAGTATGTGTAACTTGATTTACTTTTTTTATGTAGAAGTATGAGGACTTGATTACACTTTATGCAGAAGTGTGCAAATAAACAAATGGATGTTTCTTAATGTAGATCAAAATGCAAAATGTGACACGCCTTTGCCACACGAGGAGCATTGTTTCAGTCAATGGGCAGTTCCCAGGGCCTCGGCTTGTGGCAAGAGAAGGCGACCGCCTTCTGATAAAAGTCATGAACCATGTTCCAAACAATATCTCCATGCACTGGTAATAAGATGTGCAAAGCTATATCATACCAGTAATATAATATAACCCCGAATTAATGCACAATAACAATGGAGAGAAAGGCAATGACTAACAGTGATTTTTTCGATTTGTGGTGGGAAATCAGGCACGGGATCAGGCAGCTGCGTTCTGGTTGGGCTGATGGACCAGCCTACATAACACAGTGTCCTATTCAGACAGGACAGAGCTATGTCTACAACTACACCGTTGTTGGACAGAGAGGCACACTTTGGTACCATGCTCACATTTCTTGGTTAAGATCTACATTGTACGGTCCAATCATCATTCTTCCCAAATACGGTGTTCCTTACCCGTTTGAAAAACCTTATAAAGAAGTTCCAATGATCTTTGGTAAGGAGAGCAATGAGTTAAGAACATCATGTGACAACATAAGAGATTACAAGACGAGAACATTCATTAACAAAATTAATTATCGGTCAAATTTCAGGGGAGTGGTTCAATGCAGACCCCGAGGCAATCATTAACCAGGCACTCCAAACAGGAGGTGGCCCTAATGTTTCAGATGCTTACACAATCAATGGTCTTCCTGGTCCATTATACAACTGCTCAGCTAAAGGTACCATGCCAGTGATTATAGTTTCCAACCTCTAAATTCGATTTGATTGAATACGATTACCTGATATGTGTTCTTTGGCATAAACAGACACATTCAAACTCAGAGTGAGACCTGGAAAAACATACCTTTTACGGCTAATTAACGCTGCACTGAACGACGAGCTCTTCTTCAGCATCGCAAACCACACAGTAACAGTTGTTGAGGCTGATGCAATCTATGTCAAGCCATTCGAGACCGACACCATCTTAATTGCCCCTGGCCAGACCACAAATGTTCTTCTGAAAACTAAACCTAAATACCCGAGTGCCACCTTCTTGATGACTGCTAGGCCATATGTTACAGGTCAAGGCACCTTTGATAACTCTACTGTTGCAGGCATATTAGAGTATGAACAACCTAGAAACGCCAAAGCGATTCACTCAAAAACCTCTATCAAGAACCTTCCACTCTTCAAACCGGTTCTTCCTGCTCTAAACGACACAAACTTTGCCACCAAATTCGTCAACCAGTTGCGGAGCCTTGACAGCAAGAAATATCCGGCAAACGTGCCTAAAGAGGTCGATCAGAAGTTCTTCTTCACGGTAGGACTGGGAACTAACCCATGCAGCACGAAAAACCAGACATGCCAAGGGCCTAATGGCACCATGTTTGCAGCCTCCATCAACAATATCTCCTTCACAATGCCCACAGCAGCTCTTCTCCAATCTCACTATTTTGGCCGGTCAAATGGAGTATACAGAACAGATTTTCCCTTTGACCCCCTCTTCCCATTTAACTACACAGGCAATCCACCAAATAACACCATGGTTAGTAATGGGACAAAGTTGCTGGTTCTACCCTTCAATACCAGTGTGGAGCTGGTGATGCAAGACACTAGCATTCTTGGTCTTGAGAGTCATCCCCTTCATCTTCATGGATTTAACTTCTTCGTTGTCGGGCAAGGATTTGGGAATTTCAACCCCAAAAAGGACCCGAAAAACTTCAATGTTGTCGACCCGATAGAGAGGAACACAGTCGGAGTGCCATCTGGTGGTTGGGTGGCTATTCGATTCCTTGCAGATAACCCAGGTTAGTTTTTTTTTTAAAAAAGATCAAACACTGCGCATTATGCTTTAGCATATCTTATCTATATGTGTGTATGTTTATAACATGGGATATGGAAATTATAAACGAACTGGAATTTGACAGGAGTGTGGTTCATGCACTGTCACTTGGAAGTACATACCAGTTGGGGTTTGAAGATGGCTTGGCTAGTTTTAGATGGAGACAAGTCTAACCAGAAGCTTCTTCCTCCCCCGGCAGATTTGCCAAAATGCTGAAAACTATCTTCCTTCTCCAAGAATTCTTGTTCGTTTTCTTTTTCCCGAATTCAAGATTTTTCAGATTCTTCGGCTGCTCATCAATTTGACATGAGGTCATTCTGTGTTAAATAAGTTGTTTTGTTGGTTTGTACATGAGGCCAGTTTGTGTTAAAAGTAAAATTGTTTTGTTGTTTAATATATGTAACAAGAAATAATCAATTACATGTAAATCTAAACAACATTGTAGCGATAGCACACCTCGACTCAAGAGTACCATCTGCATCACTGTCCAAAGCTTGAGTTCTCCCAACTTCCAAAAACCTAAGAAAAATTTAACAGACTCAGCCTTTGTCAATGCCATAATTTGAGTTTAATGATGTTTCCTTGACCAATCAGTCACGGGCTGTATCTTTGCTCTGTCCATTTCTAAAAATGTACGCCACTAAGCATAAGAGAACCATGCATAATTAGTTACCTGCTAGCTGCAGAGGATGTCAGAATTCTTCTTTGTTGAATAGCTCTCTTGCTTCACTTGCCTAAAAGAAAATCATAGAGACTTTCTCCACAGTTATAAAGTGTTCATCTTCAATCAAAATCTAAACACTTGAAACTTTCACGTTGAAAAATCCTCCAAGTACAGCAATTACCAAAACAACAAAAACTCCATTGCAGATGATATGACTTGGCAAGTATCATAGAGAGATACTCATAATCAACACTTTCCTATCACGAAATTTCCAGAGTAAAAACCTTTAGCTACACCCAGAATTCGGAAAACTTCTAAAACATCTACAACTACAATCGCAAAAAGCAACCAAATTCAACTATCTAATCCTTCACCTTTTTCTTCTTTTTGTTCTTCTTCTCTTCAGATCCCATTTCTCCATCACTCTTCCTCTTCTTCTTATTTTTCTCCTCCTTCCTATGATTGTCTTCTGATTTAACTTTCGTTGTTACTTCTCCATCACCAACATTTTCATCATGCTCTCTGTTTTTCTTCTTCTTCTTCTTCTTGCCCTCCTTCCTCTCACTCTCTCCATCCTGACTCGGTCCTTGACTCACCTGTACTCGTTCATGACCCGGCTCCCCCTCCCTCACGGTCTCACTTTCGCTTCCACCAATTTCCCCACCGTTTTCAACGAATTCACCAACTTTTCCACTCTCGTTCTCCTTCTTCTTATGCTTCTTCTTCACCTCGCCGGATCGACCCGGTTCGCCAGATTCATGGGTCCGGTTGCGCTCCAGCGTAGCATCGGATCTAGGTTTCTTCTTGTTCAAGGTCGAAGTTTTAAGGTCCCTGTGAAGACACTTCAGCTCGTTGAAGGCCGCGGAGGCGCGTCGGAGGTACGCGCTTACGGCTTGCGTCGCGCCATGCTCGGAGGAAGCGAACCTGGAGAGAATCGACGCCGCTTTGGCGACGGAGATGGGCTCAGCGCTGATGACTCTTCCGGTCACCGTCTTCATCGGATGTCTCACAGATCTTCGCGCCCAAAAGGCAAACGATTTAGAGATTTTTCAAAGGGTCTTAGGGTTACATACAGTCGTAGACCCACTTATTCCCGAAAAAGAGAAACTAGAAACCAGATCATATTTATATATAAAAAAATTATTGTAAAAACTTCAATTTTGATTTTTTTTTGTTAGTGCAAAGTAAATGATAACACCTCTTATAAAAAAAAAAAGCTTTAATTTTGATACATTGTGAGAAAAAAAAAACGAGAATACCTCTTATAAATAAAGTTTAGATTTTGAAAAAATCGAACTTTTTTTTTCTCCAAAAGGTGAAACTTTTGTTTGGATGTATTTTATGAATATAATTTTGTTTTTGGAAATCAGCAACGAGGTTATAGAGGATCTGTTGGTGTACGCTTTATTATAAGAAAACTTATGTCGCGAGTTCGATTCTTGATTTAGGGTTTTTGTTTTTTCCTCCGTTTTCCATTTTCCACCACCGCTTCCCCTATCTCCCGCCTGATTACAGTCTCTGGTTTGCCTTAAACCCTAAACCCACCACCTCCTCTCGTCGTCTTCATCCTCACCTCATCACCGTAAGTTTTTGCTTCGATTGAACCCGACGTGAGTTTTCTGAAATTTTCGCGTTTTTTTGGTATCGACTGTTCTTTTTGTTTCTCCTGGGTCTTTTTCCGCAGCGTTGATCGGAGAGATGCAGGCGACGAAGGAGATAGAATTCACCAAGAAGCCGTACATCGAAGATGTCGGCCCCCGCAGAATGTACGGAACTTTTATTTTTGGGGTTTCTGCTCAAGCAGATCACTGAAAGCAAATTGCTTTTAGGCTGTCTTCAGTGGATGTATCATATCACTTCGTTTCAATAATTGGGCAGATTAAGTTCTAGCTTCTAGTTGATTTTGTTAGTTCAAATTCATCCATTGAGCAAAACCGTTAGTTGTTCCTTTTTCTAGCATCTGTGTTAGTCTAAGACTCAATTCGATGGTTATCTAGATGAATCTTACTGTGTTGAGATGTATTCAATGGCTTTTCCGGTTGAGTTTCCATGAATTTCTGTTTCTATCCGTCTGTAAATTCAGTTTGTATCTGAACTTGCTTTGTTATTGTGTATGCAGAAAAAGTATAGAGTTCTCTATATTTTCTGAGACGGAGGTCATGAAAGCTGCAGAAGTTCAGGTGTGGCAGGGTGTATACTATGATACCAATGGCAAACCCATTGAAGGTGGCTTGTTGGATCCTCGAATGGTAACCTTCCCGTCTTATATATGCCTACTATATGTATATGTGTACTAGATGACACTCTATGTTTCGAAATTCTGATCTTTTCGATCTCAGATATTTTACGAATTTACCATGGAGTAGCATTGTGTTGTTCCTGTTTTAGTCCTTTGCTTCAGTTATGTAATTCCATTCCTTCTCTACACCGAGATGTTTTTATCTGGTTCTATGCAGATTATTCTGAGTGGTTGTTCATTTTGTTGGTTTCAGGGTCCTCCAAACAAAAAGGGTAAATGCACAACGTGTGATGGGAATTTTCAGAACTGTCCTGGTCACTATGGATACCTTAAGCTTGCTCTCCCTGTTTACAACATTGGATACTTCAATAATATTCTGGACATTTTGAAGTGTATATGTAAGGTAATGGAGTTACTAGACTAAGTCTCTTTCTTTGATTTCTCTCCTACTCTCTATTAGTTGAATTTTGTAATCTGTTGAGTGGAAAACATGGACAAAAAGGGTTTGTAGAATGTTATGTATTGAAAAGGTACTTTAAGCCAGACCATTCCACATCTCGCATAACAGTATCGACATCATACATGGCTCTTTGTCGTGTTAATCCTTGAAATATATTCTGATTTTGAACAATGATTCTAGGATCACCAATTGTCATTCTTGGATATCATTGATGTCAGTTGGTTGCTTATATCCAAGAGTTCTCAGGCTGTTTTTTTTAACAGCGGTGTTCTCGCATGCTTCTTGATGAGAAGCTGTCCGAAGATTACTTGAAAAAGATGCGAAATCCTAAAATGGAGTCATTGAAGAAGACTGAACTGGCGAAAGCGGTTGTGAAGAAATGCAGTGCCATGGCGAGCAGTAAAATTATCACATGCAAAAAATGTGGCTACCTGAATGGTGTGTGGCTTCTAGTCGGTTTATTGCTGAAATATTTAGGTTATAATATGCTTTTCCAGATCCTGCAACCTATACTACCTTGATTTTACTGCCTCATCGTTCCTGTGTTTTGTCTTAGATGCAAAATAGTGTTCATGGAATCTTTAAGTTTTAAGTTTTAATAGAAAAGTTAGGTGGTTTTACTGGAATGATCGGTGAAACACATGTTTCCAAGACCCAAAACCATCTAATCTTTATGTTATGTTCCATTTTTCATGTTCAAGCATTGTTGAACGAGATGTTTCTATAAAAATTATGTTATATTGTGTTTATGCTAAGATCTTGGAACTGCTACTTCGTACCCATTTTAGCAATGATATCCTAGTGATGCATTTAATTGATCATTCCAGGTATGGTAAAGAAGGCTGCAACTTCGTCTGGGATTGGCATTAGTCACGATCGATCAAGAATTCATGAGGGTGATGTTGAAGAGTTTAAATCTGCAATCTCACACACCAAAGAGTCTAGTGGAGCGATAAATCCTATTACCTATGTTCTTAATCCTGTCTCGGTGCTCGCACTTTTTAAAGGAATGAGTAATAAGGTACATTTCAGATGGTATCTGTTATGCATGTCTTGTTCTATGTCAGCTACTGCAATTAAACGAATTTCTATTCTCAAATTTGATGAAACACATGAATGGACGTAGAAGGCCGGTGGACAGATAATACTTTTTTTTTTTTTTACAAATGGTTCTGTGTTCTGATTTATTTATTTTTTAAATGCATATCAGGACTGTGAACTTCTTTATCTTGCTGACAGACCTGAGAAGCTTATCATAACAAGCATTGCTGTGCCACCTATATCCATCCGACCATCTGTTATCATTGGTGGTACCCAAAGGTTATATTTCTTTTTTTGTGAATCTCTTATCAAATATATTTTCTACTTCTGATTGTTTCTTAACAGTTGTCTTTTTGTTGCAGCAATGAGAACGACATAACAGAGAGATTAAAACGAGTCATCCAAAACAACGCTTCGCTACGTCAATTTTTAGTTGAACCCACAACATCGCCCAAAAACTTGGTAAAGGAATCTCTATTGATCAATTCTTCCCCTGTTAAATTTATGTCCTGAACTCCATATAGCCTAATGTTTGTGATAAATTCTAGTAATACTTATTTCGAAATTGTTTGTTGTATTTATTGTTTATTCAATTTCCCTATAATTACCATCTTTGCCACCTTACTTATTTGTCGAGAATTTCTTTTTAGCATGCTTGGGAATCACTTCAAGTTGAGGTTGCACAATACATTAACAGTGACGTTCGTGGTGTTCCCTTGGCGATGCAACCAAGCAAGCCGTTGAGTGGGTTTATTCAGCGTCTCAAGGGAAAACAGGGACGGTTTCGTGGCAACTTGTCCGGGAAGCGTGTCGAGTACACTGGCAGAACAGTTATTTCGCCTGACCCCAATCTAAAAATCACCGAGGTAAGCCATAATAAATGGTTTTTTAAAATTGCTTTCTGGAGATTTTATAATTCCGGTGTTATGTTCCCTATGACCTATGCGACTGTTTTGTCAGGTAGCAATTCCCATCCTAATGGCTCGAATCTTGACTTTTCCTGAATGTGTCTCCCGTCATAACATTGAGAAGTTGAGGCAATGTGTGCGCAATGGCCCTTATAAATACCCCGGTGCCAGACTAGTGAGATACCCTGATGGTTCTTCAAGGTTGTGTGACTGTATGCTAGTTCTTTACTTATTGATTACGGAATTTGTTAATTAAATTGATAGTCAGTAATGGATAATCTGTTATTGGAAACGAGGTATGTGAACTCGGGTCAATTACATATAGAATTATGTGTTTCATTTAACTGGTGAGTTCTGATAAAACTTTTTTCAGTAAAGCCAACATATGTAATTTGTAGTTTGTGTTGTTTGGTGATCATAATTGATTCAAGTTAACTCACTCTGCTGCAGGGCATTGGTGGGTGATTATCGGAAGCGTCTTGCTGACGAACTGACCATTGGCTGCATAGTTGACCGCCATTTGGAAGATGGGGATGTTGTTCTTTTTAACAGACAACCTAGTCTGCATCGGATGTCTATAATGTGTCACAGGGTAATAAAACAAGTCTTTTGGATATGCTTGATTATAATTTTTTCCCACTGACCTTCATAGATCTCTTAATTTGACATTTCATATCTCGCAGGCAAGAATAATGCCGTGGAGAACTTTGAGGTTCAATGAATCTGTTTGTAACCCATATAATGCTGATTTTGATGGTGATGAGATGAACATGCATGTTCCACAAACAGAGGAGGCCCGTACGGAGGCTATTACATTGATGGGGGTACTTTCTTTTATATCTATCATCATGTGAAAAGTTTCCCTGTGAATAAAACGATCATGTGTTAGTTACATCTAAAACTTTTGTCTGCATGTGTATATGTAGACATGCAAACGTAATATAAGGTGGAATCCTGTCTAGGAAGTTCAGCCAGTGTCTCTTTTCTGTACCCGAAGCCTTCCAAGCGATATCTAGATTAAGAGCTTGGAGTAGTGGGCTTTGGGTTCTTTCTGCTGGATGATAATTGGTGTCTCCTTTGATGGGTATCTTAGGTACAAAACAATTTATGCACCCCAAAAAATGGAGAAATATTGGTGGCTTCCACTCAAGATTTTTTGACATCTTCCTTTTTGATAACAAGGAAAGATACATTCTATGACCGTGCAACCTTCTCACTTATTTGTTCTTACATGGGAGATGGGATGGATGCTATTGATTTGCCTACACCTGCAATCCTTAAGGTATGAGACATCTGCGCATTTTTCACCATTCTCTGGTACATTTAACTCGCTTTGTGACATCTGCACCCTTTTCTATGTAATGTCAATTTTTATATTCAGCAAAAGAAACTATGCTGAATATTGACCTGTTCCAAGATACTCTTGGGCATCTGCACCCTTGTGTATGTGGCTCAATTTTTCCATCAGATTTCGAATGTCCTATCTTTCATCTTGTAGTTAAGAGATACTTGCATTGAGATCTAGTCTCTATGACTAGCCTTTGCATTCCTGAATCTTATTCACCGCAGCTTTTATCTTTCTTATACTGGAGGTTCAGCTTTACAGACATTGTTTTTGTATGTCAGTCCAATAATCCGATCTACTTTGTGGTCGTTTCTCCTTCGCCCTTCTGCTAGATTGCATATTCCACTTGCTATTTCGGAAACGATTTTTAGTTTGCAGTGTATTGTACAAATCTGGATTTCAAGAGCTTTACATTGGTCTCTGGAGCTTTAGCTATGAGTTTAAAGTTCGCATTCTATTAAATTAATTGGCTTGATCAACTTAGCTGTGGGCAAAGCAACGTTTCTGTACTTCTACCCATATTCTGTCGATTTTTGTGTAGCATTTTAATTTGTTTTATTTCGATGTTGTCTTCAATGCAGCCAATAGAGCTTTGGACTGGAAAACAGATTTTTGGTGTTTTGCTGCGTCCTAATGCAAGTGTGAGAGTCTATGTTACTCTTACTCTCAAAGAGAAAAGCTTTAAGAAAGGGAAGCTTGATGAAGAAACAATGTGTCCTAATGATGGGTGGGTCTATTTTCGAAATAGCGAACTTATATCAGGACAACTAGGGAAAGCTACATTAGGTAAGTTTAATATGGGGTAATAAGTAGGTTGCAACTCCATCAAACAGTTAATTGTGTGTGCTCAATTCATTTCTAATTTTGATGCCGATATATTTTTCTCTAGGAAATGGAAACAAGGATGGATTGTATTCTGTTCTTCTAAGAGACTATAATTCTCATGCTGCTGCAACTTGCATGAATCGGCTAGCAAAACTGAGGTGAGTCTTTTGTTCTGCGTTTGGGGATCCTCTTTATTTTGAAGCGGTGTGATGATGCGTATATATTTCTCTTGTATGAGTTTATCCACTTAAGGTATTTGCCACTTGAAAATGTTATTCTTTTACTCTCTATAATTGTCCATGAGGCTGCAGGAATTATGTTTTATAGTCTTCAATGCTTTTAATAATATTAGTTGCTTTTTGTGAGTTCAAAGTTAGTAAATTTCTATGGGAAAGGAACAAATAAGAGTCAGTTTATCTACAGGATTAAGTGCATATATTATTCTTTGTTGTCAATAGGTGCATGCTTAATATCTGCGATGAGAAAGGATGGAAGTTTCCTTTTGTTTTTACCTGTATGTTTGTACGGCCTTGTTCCTGCTGCATCTCTGTAGTACTGTTGAGTGTTGATAGTTTGCATTGTAAATGTGCTATTTGGCTCTCCTATTGCCTTCAAATGAATGAGTAATTTCTTGTTTCATGAATTGTCATTGTATCTTACTCTGTGCAGTGCTCGATGGATTGGAAATCATGGCTTCTCCATTGGAATTGATGATGTTCAACCTGGAAAGGAATTGAATAAGAAGAAATCTAAAACAATTATGGAAGGGTATGAGGAATGTGATGCCACGATACAGAAATTTGATGAAGGAAAACTGCAGCTTAAAGCTGGTCTTGATGCTGCTAAATCTCTGGAAGCAGATATCACAGAGATTCTGAATCGTATTCGAGAAGTCACTGGAAAGGTAAATATATATCTTGAAGCTCCTGATTATGTGTGAATAGATGAATTGACAAAGGGATGACTTGATGACTGGAAGGTTAGCAATCCTCTTACACTGTAAAAAAGTTCAGGAATATTTTTGTAGTTTGACCAGTTTAGGTATATTTTCTGCTGAAAATGTGGGTTATATATATATATATATATAAGTTAATGGATAAAACAGTTCTACGATTCCTTTTCCTGCTGGAATGAAAAGTGTAGGAAAGTTTTTTTTTACTTTTTTTAAGAGATGAGGTTTACTTTAACCTAAAAATAAGCTCACTGTGGATGTAAGTGACTGACCAAGATCCTGAAGTATGAACTGTAACAATGCTGGTCTGCCTTTGTTTTATTGTGATATTCAGCACTGTATGGAAGGATTACACTGGAGAAATAGTCCCTTGATCATGTCTCAATGTGGTTCCAAGGGATCCCCTATCAACATCAGTCAGATGGTTGCATGTGTCGGTCAGCAGACAGTTAACGGTCATCGTGCTCCCAATGGATTTATAGATCGGAGTCTTCCTCATTTTCCTAGAATGTCCAAAACCCCTGCAGTAAGTCGACATTGGTCCTTATGCTGCCAAAAAGAAGAATAAGTAACTGGTGTTTTTGCATATAGATGATGTATAAAGTTATTTTTATACTTTCCATCAATCTTATCTTGCAAATACTCATCATTGGGCAACTTTTGCAAACTGGGATTGAAATAATGCTCTTGGTAACCTGGAAAATTACTAAGAAAGATGAAGAGTATTACTGGAAATTTTCCTTTTCATCTCTCAGCCTTCTCTATATGTTTTAGTTATATCTACTTATTGTGTGCCTTTCTGTTGTGATACTAGCATTACCTCAGTAGTTGTTCTTCTTTGTGAGAGTTGTAAAAAAACATATCCCGTCAGATGCGGAAACTAGCAGGATCATTGCTTCTCTGCTGTGACTGAGACTCCTATAAATAACTAGTTGGCTTCTTATGCATGACCCAAAATGGACCTGATCACCATAGCTTTCCTGCCATTGTTGCCGCTTCTGGACCTTCTCGATCTGATATCTTTTTTATGGTTGCAGGCTAAAGGTTTTGTTGCTAATTCGTTCTACAGTGGTCTTAGTGCTACCGAATTTTTCTTTCACACGATGGGTGGACGAGAAGGTCTAGTTGATACAGCGGTATGCATAATTTCTTTGTTGTCTTGCATAATGGTCCACTGAAATAATGTGTAGAAACTGTTATGATGTTCATTTTATGGGAGACGGGTTTTTGAACTTATTTTTTATTGTGGAAGTCTGCCTTCTGTATAATACTTTTGGCTATTGCAGGTCAAAACAGCAAGTACAGGTTATATGTCTCGTAGACTGATGAAAGCTTTAGAGGATCTCTTAGTCCATTATGATAACACAGTGCGAAATGCCAATGGATGCATACTTCAATTTACTTATGGAGACGATGGAATGGACCCAGCACGCATGGAAGGAAAGAATGGAGCTCCTTTGAATTTTGATAGATTGTTTTTGAAGGTTCAGGTTGGTTTTCCTTTATCCTATATTGGTTTTATTCTCTCTCTGTCTTTGTATGATAGTTTATCTGCTTTAATACTTCTATTTTTCAGGCTACCTGTCCGCCTAGCCCTCATCACAACTATCTTTCTTCGCAAGAAGTGTCTCAAAGGTTTGAGGAGGAATTAACGAGACATGATACAGGTGGAGTTTGCACCGAAGCCTTTGTGAAATCTCTTAGAGAATTTATTTCCAAGCATGGAGTGAAATCTGAGAATCCGAGTTTAGTTTCTCATAAAGCATCTGGTGTGACTGACAAGCAACTTGAGGTAATTATTTTTTTGAATTTCAAATGCATTATTTTTGTCTCGACTATTCTGGAATACCTCTTTGATCATTCCCCTCATTAGCTAGATCCAAGACAACCAAACTCAATAGAATTGTCACTCTCTTTCTCAAATATTTCCACCTATGTATCTTTGGTTGCACAATTAATGAAGTTTTTCCCATTTTCTTATAATCTAGGATAATTGAACTGTGATGAAAATACTTCTATGAATATGTATGCAGGTATTTGTTAAAACCTGCATATCTCGCTACCGTGAAAAAAATATTGAAGCTGGGACTGCAATAGGAGCGATAGGAGCTCAGAGTATTGGAGAGCCTGGGACTCAAATGACATTGAAAACTTTCCACTTTGCTGGAGTTGCTAGCATGAGTATCCTTGTTCAGCCTGCAGTGCATTAGTTTCCCTTTTAACCAGATATCAGCAGTTGTTTGTTTTGATTTCCTAACTCTGGTATAGATATCACACAAGGAGTCCCTCGAATCAATGAAATCATCAATGCTTCCAAAAATATAAGCACACCTGTTATCTCTGCGGAGCTTGATAATCCCTTTGAATTGACCAGTGCTCGATGGGTGAAAGGACGCATTGAGAAAACTACTTTAGGACAGGTACTCTCTTTCTAGATTGTGATTCAAATGTTATGCTCTTTTAAGTTCCTGCCTATTGTTTGAAGTTTTTGGTGCGGTTTTATGTCAGTTTGTATAGATCAAAGAATTGGTTCTATGTTTGACTACCGTCTCTTTAGATAGAGTTTCTCTATCCATCATGGTTTTTATATATCGGGTTGTCAAGATCCACTTGAATCATGGTGCAGGTTGCTGAGAGTATTGAGGTGTTAATGACTTCAACATCAGCATCAGTAAGAGTCATCATTGACAAGAAAAGAATTGAGGAGGCGTGTTTGGCTATTACTCCATGGTCAGTTAAAAATTCCATCCTAAAGACCCCCAGAATGAAGCTGAAAGAAAATGTAAGGTTCTTACTAGATGCTATTTCCATTTTCCATAAGCCGAACAATCCCTAAATCACTTTGTCATGAATGTGCAGGATATAAAAGTTTCAGATATAGGATTGGATATTACTCCAGAGGCAGATAGGAGTAGAACTCATTTTGAACTCCATAATCTGAAGAACGTACTTCCAAATGTTTTAGTGAATGTAAGGCCCGTAAAGTTTTTTATTTACTTTTGAACTTTTGTCTTATACCTACGATTTTTATTTCCAAGTCGATGGGATCTTATACTAAAAGACTCATACCGTTGGATTATAATAACAGGGAATAAAAACTATTGAGCGGGTCGTTATTGCCGAGGATACTGACAAAAGAAAGCAGGTAGATGGGAAGAAAAGGTGGAAACTCTTCGTGGAAGGGTAAGTTTTCTCTTGCTGCAATACACGAGGTTGACCTGTTTCTGTTTTTTTATAAAGTGAATGCGTGTAAGCTTAGTAAATATCCTCATAACCCCAATAGGCTCGAGTTTGGTTCCAGTAACCAAATTTTTGTAATTCCAGTTGGTAAACTGTTGAATTCAGTTCTGTGAGTTGTCTTTTGGTTCTGTTTCTGTAAAGTCATTGAAATCAAAATTGAAAAATATTCTCTGAATGAGAAAATGCCTGTCTTGTTACTTACTCTTTTGTAACATAACCTAGATGGAACATGAATCCTTAACTATATTTATCAAAATGCTCCTAACTGTTTTCCCCTTTGATGCGGTTTTATGATTATATTTCTTGATAATCAGTTTAAAAATGTTGCAAATTTCTGTTTCAGGACAAACCTCACAGCAGTTATGGGAACCCCAGGAATCAATGGGAGAAATACAAGAAGTAACAACGTTATTGAAGTGAGTAAAACATTGGGAATCGAGGCTGCAAGAACGACCATAATTGAGGAAATTGGGACAACAATGGGACATCATGGTATGAGCATAGACATTCGTCACATGATGCTTTTGGCCGATGTCATGACTTATAGGGTCAGTTCTCTTCCAAACACTTGCTTCTGGTGTAACACAATCTTTTACCACAATATATCCGTGGTTTTATATTATATGTATGGTTGATATCTGAGTTTACTGTCTTGATTAGGGGGAAGTACTCGGGATCACGAGAAATGGTATTCAGAAAATGGACAAGAGTGTACTGATGCAGGCTTCTTTCGAGAAGACGGGAGATCATTTGTTCAGTGCTTCGGTAAGCAAAAAGATTGATAAGATCGAAGGAGTTACGGAATGTGTGGTTATGGGCATACCGATGCAGCTTGGGACCGGAATACTCAAGGTTATTCAAAGGTAAAGATTTTCATCCCATCCCCTGCTGCCGTTATATGATTAGGAGAGTGTGACTTCTCTCATTTTAAGAGTATCAAACACTCAACAAGATTGGATACCCAAAAATTATCTTCGGTACCTGAACTCCAAAATAGATCCGAGATTGGATAATATCTCGCGAGATCCGAGATATTTTAGGTTTTGGGATTGGGTAACCCAAAATTTGTGGGTGTCCGACCCATGCCCACTCATATGCTTATACCTCTCGGCCTGCATACCGGAGTTTCATCGTATCATCTAGGTTTTTCTAATGAATATCCGAATGCATATATGCTGTTTGGTAATGCTCTTATGAATTTTGGTGGTCTGCTAATTTTCTAACTCACTGGCTTGTGGATTAATCCTCAACAGGACGGATTCTCTACCTAAGTTGAAATATGGTGCTGATCCAATCATCTCTTGAAAGGCAGAGGAAATAGCTTCGTCACAGTTATATATCAAACCACAAAGTTGTGCAGAAACAGTCGAAGATCGGTCCAAAAACGAGCCAAGTTCTCGGGATTTCTATTCGAGATAGACTAATGTTCACAATGATTTCTCCGGCTAACTAGAGCGGGTCGATATTCCTTTCTCAGCTCTCTCAGGACATATATATATATATATATAGAATCTCTTAGTTTTGATAGTTTGTTTGTCTTTGAATGATCAAGTTTTGGTTTTAAGACACTCCTCTCAATCTCAAACTGATGTTGTGAGGATTTACATCTCTGTCTTTGTAATAGCAGAGTTATACTTTTTTAAACCGGCATAATATCAAAACTACCATTAATTTTCTACAGGTTCAGAGCGTCTCTCTTTTTAATCTATTTTTTTTATGACCAGTATAACTATTGTCAGCGGATCACACTGATTATATAATTTTAACGGTACGACCAATATGACTAATGTGATAATCATGTAATTTTAATGGTATGACTAGTAGGGTGGATGTTTCGTTTCGGTTATTCGGAACCGAACTGTACCGAACCGAAAATTTCGGTATTTTTTTCGAACCATACCATTCAATTTTCTCGAATGGTATGATTTTTATAGAACCGAATTTTCCGGAATCGAACCGAATCAAACTTAATAAAATCTCGAAAAACCGAATTTTTTTTAAAAAAATCTAATTTTTTTAACAAAAACTGAAACTGAACTGTACCGGAACCAACTCGAACCGAATAATATACGGTATTAATTTGGTACAAATTTTAGAATACCGAATAAACCGTTCCTGAACCGAACGCTAAAATTCTGACCCGAATTCCGAAACATCCACCTCTAATGATTAGTATGACCGGTCTGATTTTAAAATAAGTCTGTCATAGTGTTCATACTAAAAATAATGTACAAAAGGTATGGTCTAAAATACATGTAGCAAAGGATATTTTTATAATAACCCTTCTAAACCTTTTTTTTATAAAAAAAAAAAAACAGTTTCTCTTATTTGCAAATGCACATTGGAGTAATAATACATCTATGAAAAAGTTGCATGAAAATGGCCGATATATTCTTGAGATTCGATTAAATGTTTTATGACATTTTTTAAATAAAATTCTGAATAATGGTATGTTGTAAATGCATATTGTAAGTATTAAAGTTGTTCTAAACGTGTTTCATAGGAAAAAAACTCAATCTTTAAACATAAAAATAATATTATGGCATATACAAGAGAGATAGAGATAATTCTATTTTAAATGATAATGTTATATGACATGCAGTTGAGAACTGATATCCTAATTGAATATTGTCACCTCAATTCTATGCGGTGTTTCATGGTTTAGGCCATTAGTTTTTTAAGTTTTTTTTATATTAGATTTAATAAAGATATACAAAATTAGATAATTGTAATTTTTTTTGTGATGTAGAATAAACCTTTGATCCTTTTGAATCATTGGATATTTTTCCGACCAATAAGATAATAGGATCAGATCCAACAATAGGAACTGTCTGCTTATGTAGGTGGGCATGGAGCCAGAATCTCCATGATGCTTTGCAAGTGAGATAGTAAGTCCAATTTTTTTCCATGTGTGGGAGCTTGATTGCGTTATTTCAAGTATTGGGGTCAATTTAGAAAACCATAAAACTTAAGTGTCCAAAATGTGAAGATTGATGTGATATTTTTCTTCTGCCTTACAGTCACGACTCACATTGACCACATAATAGAAGAGATAGTAATTGCAGTAAGGTTTTATTTTGGCTAAGATTTTTGCTAATATAAAAGCTCCCACGTGGGTTGTTGTCGTCGTGGTCCCCACTTTATGTCCGAAATGTAATTCTTTGTCCCAAGTTATCCATTATTTACCGTATGAAAATCAATATCGTATCATTATTCTTCTATTTTAAAATTTTGAAGTAATAAATAAAAAATTATATATTTGGAAAGATCATTTTTCTTTTGGGATTTTGTTACGTAACTTAGTTTTGATGTTTTATCTTACAGACGAGTTTTAAGTATTATAATATTGCAGTAAATATATTGTTCATTTGTTATATATATACTAATGCTATACGAATATATCTACATATGAATAAATATTGATACATATATTTTTTTTAATGTGAGTTGGTTGTGAATGGTATGTATCGTTTTGGTGTTTTTCCAAACGTGAAAACGATATTTTTCTGTACCATCAAAAGAAAATGTATGTGGAATCTTGAAAATATTTAATCTAAAACATTATATATTGTGAAACGCTACTCCATTATTATTCGCGTTTGCGTTTGCGTTTGCGTTTGTTGGTTTCCATTTCTGTCGTATTCCCATGACAACTCACTCCCACAGACAGGCACACAATGGAACTTTCAAAAGAACAAATCTTCTCCATCATCAAGCCGGTATGTTTTGTTATTTTATCGATTTATTATTTAAATTTTTGCTATAATTATGTATAAATAAAAAAGCCATGCACGTGGAATCGGGCATGAACAGGTATGGGAATTAATAATCCAGTGATGGACCGACCTAAATCGATGTAATCATTCAGATCATATATTATCCTTAAATAATTTCATAACATTCTGCGTTTATAAACCCCCAAATCTCTAACGTCCGTTCACTCCCCATCCCTCTGTTTCCAGGTTTCTCATTTTCCCTCTCCTTTTTTTTTTCTTTTCTTTTCTCTGTTCACTCTGTTTCCGAGAAAGAAAAAAAAAAGAGAAAATATCGTTTCTTCCTCCACACGTAACCCAAAGCTCGTTATCATTTTAGGGTTCTTGTCCCCAAAAAAAACCCTACAAATATCTGTTAGAGAGATACAAAATTAAAAAAAAAAAATCAATTTTACAGAGACCCATTTATCCATTCGTCAGGTAAGTTTTGTTTTTCCTTTCTATTTTTGAATTCTTGTGAATTTTCTCGGCAACCAAACACTACTTATTAGACAATAATATCTCATCTTTGTCGGAGATATGATTCTCTTTTGTTTGTTTTAGATTTTCCTTTATTCTTTGGTACGACACCTAATCTAGGGTGCTAAACAGAAAATACAAAAGTATATTTGTATAGTTTGATCTATATATATATAAGATATATATAGTAATCAATAAAAATATCATAGATTTCACCAAAAAAATAAAAATAAAAATATCGTAGATTCCATTACGTGGGCGTCAAAATTAATCTTTCGATATTATAGAATAATCATTGCCCTTACTGCCCACAAAAAATGGAACATTTATTCTCCTAACTCGGATCTATACATATAACATATTGGCTATATATATATATGTCTATTTTGAAGTGTGATGGATTTGATATCGCTCTCTCTATATATACACACGCATACATATATATATATATATATATATATATATATATATATATATATGTGTGTGAAAAATAATGGACTATATACCACACTCGAAGAAACTTGTGGTTCTCAAAAGCCACCACACAAGATTGTTTCATTCCCAATTTTGCCCCAAAGAAAACGTCGCTGTCAATAATGTCCAAATTCCAGTTAACGTCTATATGGTCCACAACCATTACTCTTATGATAACATCATTATTCTTGTGTCCGTGCATACATATATTGATATATATACATACATATACATATATATATATACATATCAAGTAGATGGGAAATCTTATCAACTTGAATATGTCTAGTCAATTTATTTCCAAAGATGCACTTATAGAAATGTGACTTTATATTATCTGTAAAAATAAGGTATGAAAGACAATTTCCATAAATTTTATCGTTTGAAATCAACATCGACGGAGGGCTAAATTCATGTATGAGATTGGAGCCCTGTTGAAGACGCAACCATCTTTTCATTATTGTTATATTGATTTCATTATTATAAAATAAAATAGTATCAAATTTCAAGAAATACATATTTCTCTTGGATTGATTGTTGTTTATTCGAGTTAATGTCACATTATTAGTCGAAATCAGAGACCGAATGATCCCTAATAATACGATATAATAATAAATAACCGTGAAAATAATCCTTATTTTCAATTCATTGAACCGTATAATACACACACACACACATTCGTTAGTATGAAATAAAATAAAATAAATATAATACTTTTATTAATTATTAAGTGATCGTTTTATCTTTATAATAAGTTATTTATTCATACTTTAAAATGATCAGTCTAATTACTTAATCCAACCTCTAAATAATTTCTTTCTATCTATAATATTTGTTTTTTTTTTCTCTCTATCTCTCGCTAAATGTTAAAACATATGGAGTCAATACACAAGCACATGTAGCTTGCCAAAGTCGTCCGTTGCACAAACAACTTAGTAATATGTCCATTTTATACACACACACACACACACACATATATATATATATGTATATATATGTTATAAATACATATTATTTATATATAAGTAATTTTCGCATTATTTTGTTGAATGCAGAGTGAAAAATGGACCCAACGGAGAAACCATCCGCCAAGCAGTCTTCTCGCCTTCCCACCCTACCAAGAGACTCCCGCGGCTCGCTCGAGGTGTTCAACCCGTCAACTTACCCGACCCGACCCGACAACCCGGTCTTCCGTCCGGATCCGCCCACGTGGCAGAGCTGGAGGGATCAGACCTCGCCACGTGGCAGTACCAACCCCAAACCGGAACCGGAACTCGAACATGTCCCCAAACAAGTCCCGTCGGAGGAAATCGCCGTCACCACCTCATGGATGGCCCTGAAGGACCCGACGCCGCCGATCGCGAAGACGATCACCGGCGAGAAACCGGCGGAGAATTCGCCGGAGGGAGTGACGGCGGCGGAGCAGAGAGCGGCGGAGTGGGGGCTGGTGCTGAAGACGGACACGAAGACGGGTAAGCCGCAGGGAGTGAGCGTGAGGAATTCCGGCGGGGAGCAGAACGAGCAGAACGGGAAGACGGGTTCGTCGAGGAGGAGCTCGAACAACTCGTTCAGGAGCTCCGGCGAAATGTCCGACGGAGAAGCCGCCGGGAAATCAGGGAACAACATTCCGAGGGTGTCGGAGGATCTGAAGGACGTGCTGTCGACGTTTCAGCAGACGTTTGTGGTATCGGATGCGACAAAATCAGACTATCCGATCATGTATGCGAGCGCCGGTTTCTTCAAAATGACTGGTTACACTTCCAAAGAAGTCGTCGGCAGAAATTGGTACGTTCTTTCCTTTTCCTTTTTCTTTTTTATAATATTTTTTATTTTTATCACCTTTTTTTTTAAATTTTATTTATCATATATCCCATTCCAACCTGATCCTATCATAATGTAAACACTAATACATACATTATATATATAATATCAAAATGTGGATTATGCAAAATTTGTTTGGGTTATTTGGGAAGCCGATACGAGATCTTAAACCCTATACTATTACTATTAAATTTTTTTTTAAATTCTATGTAAGTTTAAATAAATAATTATTAGTAGTTTTAGTTGTACATATGTGATATAATATCATAGGGCTGTGATTATAAAAACAATATCATAGGGTTGATTTTGTAAACTTTATTTTTTGGGGGACATTTTGGACAGTCGATTTTTACAAGGGTCGGGGACGGATTCAGAGGAATTAGAGAAGATAAGGGACGCATTAGCGTCGGGAGCAAATTATTGTGGAAGGTTGTTGAATTATAAAAAAGATGGGACCCCTTTTTGGAATCTTCTTACCATTACTCCAATCAAAGAAGAGAGTGGCAAAGTCCTCAAATTTATCGGGTTAGTCCCTCTAGTTTCTTTGGTTCCCTATTTAAGTCCCTCATTTATTATCATCTCCAAATTTCATCAATTTCGTGATCCACATTTTGATTTCACCATCTTTCGAAATCAAAATCTATTTTCGTTTGTCTCTAAGAAATATAGTTATATGATATATACATATACATGTTTTGCGTTATGTTGGTCGAATACTATTTGATTATGATATTCGGATATACGTATTTGTTTGTCGACAATCAATTATGATGGATATCGAATATTTCTACCATATACTAACAAAAACAATTCTTATGGTCCATTTTTTTTTGTATATTTCTGATTTTAGTTGAATTTAGATATATAGTTTATTTTCATGAGTTTTTCAATTAAAAAACACTTATTTATTTTTTATTCAGTTTGTCTTTTTTATTCCGTTTTCGCTTAATTTTTTTTTAAAGAAAAGTAATAATTTTGCAAAAGTGATTTCAGTTTTTTTTTTAAGAATTTGAATCGTATAAGATTCCATTAATTTAGTCGATAGAATTATATTAAATTAGGCTTCAGATGAGATATTATTGTATATTATAAGTTTTTTGTATCATTTTCCGATATCCGACGCAACGATATCATGTTATCACATTGCATTGATCACCCACGTGAACCTGACCCAGACCATAAAACATTATCCCTAAAGTAGGCATTATGTTGTTACATGTTATATTCAATAATTTCATTCGCTTACATATGTATATATATGTATATATGCATGCACATATATATATATATATATATATATATATATATGCATATGATGTGATTGAACATGCGTGGACCCTTTCTAGTTTCATCCCAGTAATGCATATCATCTTGTAACCGTTGGATCATGTCAATCCGACAGTCGCTTGGTCCCAATCAATGGGACTGGATTTGGATAAGGCGTATATTAAAAGATCTTGGTCCGACCAGAATCCCTGGAAAATGATTCACTTTATATTATAATTCTAATATAATCAAATATCATCTCTCCCAATATCTACATATATATACATTTTTTTTGGTATAATACGTATATATACATTAGTTAGCTGTACCAAATAAAATTGTAGTTTTAAATTGATAGGACCGGTCCAAAGTATGTGATATTAATTAGTTAATGGTGCCTTTTATAATATGTCCAGGGTTTGAATATTTTCCTGTGGTATTGGACCGAAATGAATTTTAGAGAAATATTATGGTATGATTTATTTATTTTTGCCCAAAGTATGGGATTTATTTAGAAGATTATATTATTTATAATATGGTAATTAATGATTGGGCCAGAATGCAAGTGGAGGTGAGTAAGCACACTGAAGGGTCCAAGGAAAAGACGCTTAGGCCCAATGGGCTTCCTGAGTCTCTGATCCGTTACGACGGTATTTCTTTTTTTTTTCTTTGTTTTTCAATAAATAAATAAATTTACTTTTTTTTTTAATTTATATTTAAATCTAACGTTCGAATTTTCTGAAACAGCCCGCCAAAAAGACGCAGCGACGAGTTCAGTGACGGAGCTTGTGGAGGCGGTGAAGAGGCCTCGAGCCTTGAGCGAATCTACGAATCTCCATCCCTTCATGAGAAAATCGGAGGGTGGTGGTGGAGCGGCGGATGCTCCGGCCAAGCTTGGACGGAGAAAATCGGAGCACGCGGCTCCGCCTGGCCGGAGGAACTCTCACGGCGGAGCTCGGAGAAACTCGATGCAAAGGATCAGCGAAGTCCCCGAGAAGAAACCCAGAAAATCTTCTCGCCGCTCCTTCATGGGGTAAAATTCGATCGATTCTTCGTTTTTTTTGTATCAGATCACTGTTTCGTCCCGAACTTTTCTATCGATCGATTTTGAATTCCAATGAGTGGCGATTGATTAGATTTTTCTTTTTGGGTGTTGTAGGATGATGAAGAAGGGCCAACCCCACGCTGAGACGATCGACGATGAATTTTTGGTATATGGAGAAGAAGATGACGATGAGTTGAGCGACAGAGACGAGAGGCCTGAGAGCGTCGACGACAAAGTGAGGCAAAAGGAGATGAGGAAGGGTATCGATCTTGCCACGACACTCGAACGTATCGAGAAGAACTTCGTCATCACTGATCCGAGGCTTCCCGACAATCCGATCGTAACGATTTCGATCTTGAAACTGTTCTGTTTCGTTTCGTCTCATTTTGCTCAGTGGTCTGACAAAACCCGTCATTTGTTTCCAGATCTTCGCATCAGACAGTTTCTTGGAGCTCACAGAATACAGCCGTGAAGAAATCCTTGGCAGGAATTGCAGGTATGTTTCAAAGCATGGATTCTGAATTTGAATCTGGCTGGGAGAACAGATCAAAATTCTAAGATACGTTTTTTTATGAATTTGTTGCATGAATGGTTTCTAGGTTTCTCCAAGGGCCTGAAACTGATCCTGCGACAGTGAGGAAGATACGAAATGCTATCGATAATCAAACCGAAGTCACAGTTCAGCTCATCAACTACACCAAGAGCGGTACTAAGATTCGTCAAACTGACTTATTGTTCTGTCTGTTTAATCGATAAGTCAAGAATCTAAAACCATTGTTTCTTTTCAGGCAAGAAGTTCTGGAACATATTCCACCTGCAACCTATGCGTGATCAGAAGGTACAATGAATATACATACACGTAAAACCTCGAACTTTCAATCTTTCATTGTAATCTCTTGAAGTTGTTTGGGGAAAATTAAAAAGTTCTGGCCTTGTATCATCTGAAAATTTATGGTTTGTTTAATGTTCTTCGTAGGGGGAGGTACAGTACTTTATCGGAGTACAACTAGACGGTAGCAAGCACGTTGAACCGGCCCGCAATGCCATTCCAGAGCCTGCTGTGAAAGATGGAGAAGAACTGGTTTGAAACCTACTCTGCCAAAACTATACGTATTGCCATTGTATGATCTTTCTATCTGTTTGTTAAGTTAATCTAATTCTGATTTCTCCAATCTGAACATTTCAGGTGAAGAAAACGGCTGTTAATGTCGACGAAGCAGTACGAGAACTGCCTGATGCAAACATGGTGAGTGGTGTCTGGTTTTGATCAGAAGGACTGTATTTGGAAACCGAGATTAGGGTTTTTGAGAGTCTGATGATGTGAATCATGTGATTCAATGTTTGTTATCTTGAAGACGCCGGAGGATTTATGGGCGAATCACTCAAAGGTTGTCCATCCGAAGCCTCATAGGAAAGATTCAACTTCCTGGAAAGCTGTCCAAAAGGTACAATTATCCATTTTGTTTCTGATAATTTCCAAATTCATAGATTCTGGTCGACTAAATCACCAAAACTGAAAAATATGTTTGCTAACAGTCATATGTTTTATGTTACTGCAGATACTGGACAGTGGAGAACAGATCGGTCTGAAGCATTTTAAGCCGGTGAAACCATTGGGTTCCGGTGACACAGGAAGGTTCTGTCTATCGATCTAATTAAAAATTCTTTCATTGTGTTTGAAGCACGAAAATATTCACAACTTCAAACTTATCGATAAAGTTTGTATCTTTTTTTACATATTCAGCGTGCATCTGGTGGAACTCTATGGAACGGATCAGCTGTTTGCGATGAAAGCAATGGACAAGAACGTCATGCTCAATCGTAATAAGGTAACATCAAATTTTCTTGCTATCGTGTCAGCTACTTGCACGGCACGAAATCCATAGATTTTCTTCTTTTTCGTTTTTCGGGTTTTGATTTAGCAAATCGAAACAAAATGCAGGTCCATAGAGCTCGGGCCGAGAGAGAGATTCTTGACATGTTGGACCACCCTTTCCTTCCTGCGCTATACGCTTCATTTCAGGTCTGAAAATTCTATATGGTCAAGATTTGTGTGTATTTCTGTACTTGTGTTTGTGTATACTTTTGTATATTGTCTTTGATGGATCATGTTTCTACTTATTTTCTGCAGACAAAGACGCATATTTGTCTGATAACAGATTACTATCCAGGAGGAGAACTGTTCATGCTCCTGGATCGACAGCCCAGGAAGGTCCTCAAGGAAGATGCCGTGAGGTACAAGACTATATAGCTTTATGAAAACCGAAATATGCCATGGAGAAACTCAAATAAAGGATTTGTTTCATCTTATATGATTTGCATTTTTATCACATCTTGGTAGAAATCTTGAGCTCTTAAATATATTATGAACTAAATCGAAAACCTGAACAAATTTTCAGATTCTATGCGGCTCAGGTCGTTGTGGCCCTTGAGTATCTTCACTGCCAAGGTAATATGCCGTAGAACTTTTCCCAGTATGTCATGTTTTTCTCCTGACAACAAAGATTGCATTTTGGAGAAAGATTTGAATAAATTGCAAGGGAAACATTGATGGGTTTACATTGGGATGAACTTGTTTTTCCAATTCAGGTATAATTTACCGAGATTTGAAGCCGGAAAACGTTTTGATTCAGAGCAACGGTGACATCTCCTTGTCAGATTTCGATCTGTCTTGCCTAACATCTTGCAGACCTCAGGTTTATTCAACCTCCGTAGAACTTGTTGCCCTAATCTTCTTACATATTGTCACCATTTCCGTAAGTTGTAAGGTAAGTGTGATTATATTCTGTAGCTGTTGATGCCGAGTACGGATGAGAAGAAGAAGAAGCAACAGAAGAGCCAGCAGGCTCCGATCTTCATGGCTGAACCTATGCGTGCATCCAATTCATTTGTTGGGACTGAAGAGTACATAGCTCCAGTTAGTATACTACACTTTTGCCTATACAAATCGTATAAACTCTGCAATATAAGATGCCGTCTTTCTTAACAAAATTATTTCTCATCTTGCAGGAAATTATAACAGGGGCTGGACATACAAGTGCAGTAGACTGGTGGGCACTCGGTAAGATTCTCTCTCTCTCTCTCTCTCTCTGTGTGTGTGTGTTCAGAAACAGATATTTTAGGAAGACTCTGTTTTGTCTAAATCTCAGGTATTCTTATGTACGAAATGCTGTATGGATACACTCCATTTAGAGGGAAAACCAGGCAGAAGACTTTCGCCAATGTCCTCCAGAAAGATCTCAAATTTCCCAGCAGCATTCCGGTAAATTACCAATCAAATTTCATCTCACATCTCGGTTTTTGGTTGATCCATTTGTATTGGTAATATAATTGAAGCAAATCTGATCTCGTCAACCACTTTTACCGGTTCTTCGCTATAACAGCCTAAATCTAGTTATAGAAATTACGCAAAGGTGAAAACTTAAACCATTTGACCCGGTTTTCGCTATAGATTAAAAAATGTCATTTGCATTAGTTCTACTAGCGTGGACGAGTGGTTGAGGTGTGGGCCAATGTGCCTTCACATAGCGGTTCGATTCCTGAGGGTGGGGAGAGGTATTCACATAGGTTCTCCGGTCCTCTAGGAGATGTAGTCGGGCCGAAGGCCCATTAAAAAAAAAATGTTGATGAACTGTCGTCGCTTCAACCCTTTTTTTCTGCAGGCAAGTCTGCAAGTGAAACAACTGATCTTTCGGCTGTTACAACGTGATCCAAAGAAAAGACTAGGCTGTTTTGAAGGGGCAAACGAAGTCAAGAAACATTCTTTCTTCAAAGGCATCAACTGGGCTCTCATCCGATGCACGGTAAATAAATATCATATCATAAAGTTCACAGTACTAAAACTTCACTTGTTTGATTTACCTTAGCAAGATGTAAAAACACCAACATCTTTTTTTTTTGTTGAAAGGTAAATTGCATTAATCAAAAACTCTTTTGATAATTTCTGTGGATGGATAAAGACTGTCTGGTGTTGTTAAGTAGATCACGCATTTTTTTTTTTGTTAATCGGGTGTCATAGGCCAAGACCCAGACTAGTCTCGGGGGCAGAAGCAAGCCATATGATTGAAATTATGTTGTCCTCCCCAACTTGAGGCTTGAACTCGGGGCGGGACAGACGCCCGTGTATTTTTTGATGTAGAAGAACGATATTTATTTGATATTCTCGTTAACGATCTGCAGAAACCTCCAGAGCTGGAAACTCCAATATTTTCCGGTGAAAACAACAATGGAGAGAAAACTGTGGATCCCGAGCTCGAAGATCTGCAAACAAATGTCTTCTGAGAAGTGAAACTTCCCTTATGAGATTTCTCTTCAAAAGAACAGTTCAACAATGGCTTCAGAAGCAAAATCCAAGTGCTATCTTGTAATCTATATTTGTTGGTGTGATTTTTTTTTTCCTGAGATTCCTTTGTTTTTTGTCAGTGAACAAAAAAAAATTGCTTTTTTTTTGGGGCATTTCCTTGAATTCCTTCAAATAAATTTATTCTTCTTTGCTTTGCTATTGATCATAAAATACCCTTGAGAGAATTTGGGAAATCTCCCACATGCACTCTCAACTTATTTATTTCAAGTACATGGGTTGAACCGATTCCAAATTAGTTTGGATTTCGATCCAAAATATCCAATTATAAAAAAAAAACTTATTTATTATTGCTCGATATTAGTCTCCAAAACGCTATGCTCTATATTATGTTTTTCTGAAAAAAAATAGCTTTTTCTTTTAAAGTATTCTTATTAGAGGTACATATGCATACATATGTTGTCAAGGGCACATATATATATATTTACACGCACACATACAAAATGTGTTCCCAAGAGTCTTTTTGCATGAGAATGAGTATTGTGATATTATGACAAACTAGCCCTTGAATTCATGTGAACAGTGAGGCCTCAGATGAATGGCATGGGACACTAAAGAGAAACTGAACGTAAATTGAGATTTTTTTTAAAAAAAAAATATTATTAAACGAAATTAGTTCCTGCAAGGCAGGAACTCAGCTGTGTTCTGTCCCATAAAATCCAAATCACAACAGAACCGAATCCAACACCTTGAAAATAAAACACTGTTTTTTTTGCATCCTCTTGTTCTCAACAAGCAAAAACAAAACGATTTTCATATATCAGGAGATTTGCTTGGCTTCGATATCTTTGAGTCTGAGGGTCACTGCTCTCTTATGAGCTTCAAGACCTTCAACTTCCGCCATTGTTGCAACATGGGGACCAAGACTTCTCAGACCTTCCTCGGTTAAGGACTGTACGGTCATGTACTTGAGGAAAGAGTCCAGAGATACGCCTCCATACATACGTGCGTAGCCATAGGTCGGAAGAACATGGTTTGTACCGCTCGCATAGTCCCCTACGCTTTCTGGAGTCCATGGTCCAAGAAACACCGAACCTGCATCAGATTATTCGAAACCCGGGTGATTTTATCTATGCATTTGTAGAAAGCATTGTAAGAACATGTTTTGTTACGAGGCAACGGTTTGGTTGGATTGAATGTGTGTGTAGGCACGGATCTGGTACCTGAGATTTCCAATATAACCGAACACAAACCAGAACATCTCGGGTCTCATGAGATATTACCCGATTTTGGATTCATATTGGCTGGGAAGGATGCCCAAATGTCGGATATTCGAGATAATTTTTGGGTATCCACGGTATCCAAACACGAGTTTAAATACAAAACTTTGATTTTTTTTCAATGTGGATATCATATATTAAGATTTGACCCGACTCGGGTAACCAAAATTTTCGGATCACACAAATCCGAACCCAAAGTTTCAAGCAATTTTAGTAGGTTTGTAAGTAAAGCAGTATATGAAGAGATGGTTAAGAAGCTTTCCACACGGACCTGCATTCTCGACGAAACCCTCCCATTTCTCAGCGTCTTTGACATTGACAATCAAATGCTCGGGTGCATATAGGTTTGAGAAGGATATTGCCTGTACAATACCAAGCAACCATACAGTAGTAATGTCAGAACAGTACAAAGCTATAGCCTCAGTGCCAAACAGACAAAAACAAAAGCCGCTCCATCTCAGAAAGGAGCTAACCTCGACCATGTCTTGAGCAAAGACTGTGAAACTGTGACTTAGAGCTTTCGAAGCAAACTCTCCCCTTGGAAGGCTTTTGCACTGTTTGGTTATTTCTTCTTCAATGGCTGTCAGATCTATATTATCCCCAACTACAACAAGGACAACTTGACTATCTGGACCATGTTCAGCCTGGCAAGGCACAAGCGAAGACAAGGAAGGAGAATAGGTTTGAGCAAATTCATTAAAACAGTCTCAAAGAAACCTACTCTTATAACTTCATAAGCGAAAGGCGAAAAAAAGAAAGAATAATGGTATGAATTATGATTGAGGACAGATTTTCAGCTTTTATGGCCAGAGGAATGGAATTGTTTGACGAGAGAATACCTGAGAAAGCAAGTCCGCTGCGATATGAGCTGGACAGGCATGCTCGTCAGCTATGACTAAGACTTCTGAAGGGCCGGCAGGCATATCAATGGAAACCATCGCCTCGCTGTTCTGTGGGAAGATTGGGAAAAATCTGAGGAAGGCTACGATTGATTTTTCATATTGTCATTTGAATTCCCTTTCTTGAAAAAAACGGTCTAAACAAGTAATGGCTACAAAGAACAATATCATTACCTGAAGAATCATCTTAGCAGCAGTTACATACTGATTGCCCGGACCAAAAATCTTCTCAACCTGCCAAAAAGATCAGCATAAGTCCAGGCATATGACAAGTATGGCATAAGCACAAGACATGTTTGTACCTTAGGACAAGAATCTGTCCCCCAAGCCATGGCAGCTATGGCCTGCAACACAAAGATGATCATTACTACAATCAAAGAACCAAAAGGATCCCAACCTGGAAAATCATAAGCAGAAAGATTCACACTTCCGCACCTGTGCTCCCCCGGCTTTAAGTATGTGAGTTACACCGGCCTTCTTTGCACAATATAGCACTTCCTACAACAAAAGACCCGTCAGCTCCAAAAAGCAAAACAGCATAAACATGAGAGTTAGATTGAATTGAAAATTCCAAAAATAAAAATTGATGAATATACCTTACAAATGCTTCCATCCTGAGCTGGTGGAGTTGCAAGAACAACAGTCTTGCATCCAGCGATTTGAGCAGGCTGACACCGAGACAGAGTAAAGTAAAAGAGGACCCCCATCATTATCAACAATAAAGAATTGCGAGAACAGCGAACTGGTAAAAGTATTGAACAGCATAGAGAGCATGAACTTACAATTGCAAGCATCAGGGCAGTAGAAGGCAAAACAGCTGTTCCACCAGGCACGTAAAGACCAACGGAGCCAATACATCTCGGGACCCTTTTACATCTGACACCCTAACAAACTTGAAAACAAAAGATTAGTATAAGATGCAAGATTGAAGAAAGAAATGAGGTAATTGCATCAACTTACTTTCATATTCTCGATGCTTTTTTCTGTTGATTTTTGGGCCAAGTGAAATGCATATATGTTGTCGTATGCAACATCAAATGCTTCTTTAACTGCTTTGTCAAGCTGTGACAGTAAAAAAAATTGAATTGGAACGTAGAAAAAAAAGGAACCCATCTTTTATAAAGTAAATTGATTTAGAAGAAACAAAGAAAATATATACCTGAGGAACAGGAAGTTCAGACGCATCCTCGACAATGTTATTTAGTTGAACTCTGTCAAACTTTTCAGTGAATCTGAAAAGCATAACATCAAGCAAACAAAGGCAATTACAAACCTAATGATCTAAATCAATCCATAGAAACAAAAGGGTCCTCAATCACATCTCCCATGAAAACAGAAAACAAAATAAAGAGAAGAAGCACCAACTCTTTGACAGCAGCATCTCCTCTGCTTCGAACAGCCTCAATAATGGGGTTAACCTAGTACAATATCTGTTCATGTCACTGACAAGAATCTAAGAGAGCATGAAATGGGTTTTGAGCTAATCAAACATAAACAACTTACTGTGCTGAAAATTGATGAGAAGTCAATGCGTGGGCGTGCCTTGAGCTTTTCCACCTCGGAATAAGCAAGATCGGACAATCTATAAGACTTCATTGAACACCGAATTGTTGTTCTCTTGCAGAAGTACCCTGTCAATGCAATTCACAACATTTCTTATAATTCATGATCGGGAAAGGTTTCAATGGACAATCTCATTCCGGATCCCATTCAACACCAACTACGTGAAGCTAATCAATCGAATACTCGATCAAATCAAATTCCGAACCCAATCACCGAAACTACAAAACCCATCTCAATTCGGAACATCTAAGACAAGGATACGACTGAAACGCCGGAATCCGTCAAAGACAAGGAAAGGTGGTACCTTTCAGGCGAAACTCCCGAAGGCGATGGCCGGCGAACGAGAGGCGAGGAACAGAGGAAACTGAAAGACCAGACAGATCGAGGGACATCGAACTCGGTTCCTGTCCGAAGTGAGCGGCGACGGAGGAAGAAGTGGACCCAGTGAGAAGAGAGGCGAAGGGTTATGGTTATGGTTTGTTTGCCTTTTTCACGAAATAATTAAAACATAGAAATTTTCTAAAATGTAATATCCATTTTTCTTGTAAATCTATGTAAATATAATTTAACGTAACCTTTTTAATATGTAAAATTGCACGTATAAATTCTGATTTAATCGCACATTTGGTGAACTTTTTACGGTAAAAACATGTATTTCTCGTTATTTGAATTACAAAATATAATTTAAATATTACATTCAAACTGTTAAAAATGCAAAGCCCAGCATTTTTACAGTCACAGCAGAAAAGAAACGAAAACAACAAAAGAAGACACCTTGTGAGATTTTACGTGATTCGCATCCTTTGTGATTCAACCACGAATCCCAAGGATCGATCACGGAGAAATCTCGTCGCCGGAGAGCTAACCGGCCGTTGAGACTAGGTGGAGTCGGGAATCCGGATGGTGGAATATCCTCTCTCCCCTCCGCCGTTTCTTTCTGCTTGATCGACCACAACGAGGCGATCGAAACCGTTGTTTTGAAGAAATCGCGATCATGATCATGATCTGAATAAATCCCTATCGCCGAGAGGGCATATCCTTGCAGATTTTGGTTCATCAATCATGTCTTTGGTCGCCCGGTGTTGCTTTCTTCCCCAAATCGATCATAGCGAAGGGTATTTCCGAATTCTCTTCTACTCTTTCGTCTGCTTCAGTCAAAATTGTTTCTGGGTTTATGAATCTCTGCTATTTCGTTTACAGATTTAGAGTCGGGAGTTTTAAGGGTTCTTGCTGTTTTCTGGATTTAGAATAACTCTGAAACTGTTGCGTTTCATTGCTGGTTTCTATTTGAAATCTCTGTCAGTGCACTTCCTGCATCTCAATTGGGAAATTTAGTTCATAATAAAGGAAAGGTCTTTGCTTTGACACCCTGTGTGATGGAATGCCCATTTGCAGTTTGGAAGCAATAGAGTTGGCAAACCAAGTTGTACATGGTTTAGATTCAGAAAATCTGTATCTACATTCTTGTGGATCTTCTTTGTGTGGTAAACTGAGCGTCGAGCTCGGGTTTATCAGTTGGTGGTCACTTTTGATGAATCTTAGATTCTTACCCCGATAACCCGCCATGACAGGTATGGTTCTGTACTCCAACACTTGCCATCAAAGCTTTCGGTTTTGTTTTCCGGTGTTCACCCTCATTCATTCGGACTGTATCATGAGGCATCCTGATGCTAAAAAAATGGGCTTATGAACACAGGTTGCACTAGAGAAGTTACCTGTTCTGGTGAACTGTGTTCTTGCCGGAGCTGAGGAAGTAAGAACAGAGATCACACAGACAGAGATCTGCAAGTAATTGTAGCAGCTTGTTCTTGCTCTTTCTGAAGCTAATAATGCTTCTCCAGTCACTTCTTCCTTCCTCCTCCCCCATGGGCTCTGATCACTTGGTAATTGCTCATCTGTGCTCATTCCTCTGAACTTGCAAGTCACTTGTGAAACTGCATCTCGTCTTTCTGGGTGTGTTTCTTTAATGGGCATCTCTTGTTTTGGCATCTTCTTTTTTTCAGATGGAAATGCGAATGAGATACAAAACAAATATATGATCACAACAACAACAAAGAATCTATTCATACTCTTTAACACATTACACTGCATATTTACATCCCAAATCCAAAGAAGAAAGAAAAAAGACCCATAATTTATATTCTGATTTCAGATTCAAGTTACAAACGAAGAGAGAAGATCGGGATTCAAGGAGAAGGGTTGTCGTCGGAGACGTAGCCACCGCCGGGAGAATCTGCGGCGGCCGAGGAGGAGCTCAGAGTGGCGTCGCCGGTGATCTTGTCCTTGATCGTACACGTGGAAGCGATGGTGGCCCTCGATCTGACCAGATCGCGCGCGATCATGATCATGACTCGGCCTCTTCTCGGTGGAAGCGGTCGTTCCTCCCTCCTGGAGCTGTTCGGACAGGAAACCTCCATTTCTCCCAAAGTCAACGACTTTATATAACTTTTCCTTCTTTTTTTTGTTTGTAAAGAGACGATTTTTCTCAGGTAGATGATTGAGCCAAGCGACTTGATTGGAGTGAGTATTTATAGGGGAGGGAGAGTGGCTCCGGGCTTTGCTTGGTGCCCAAGCTAGCTAACTCTCAGGGGTATTTCGGTATTTTTCAGTGGCTTGACGTAAGAAGAACTTGGAGGCTAAGGGGAGATATAGGTAGGCGACGGAGTCATACAGAGGCAGAGCAACCATTGTATACGTTGACGTATCTTATTATCTTATATACGACTATACTGCGTTTTTGTCTTCGTGTTTATCTATAAACAAAAGAAAAAGCTTTTTAAGATAGAAAAAATAAATAAATATTAAAAAAAAGGTACAATTCCAAAAAAAGGTATGAATAATAAATCCAATGGATACAAATGAATAGCCTCTTTACTAAAACATAAATGTTTCATTTATAATTATAGGAAATTATTCATTCACATGTTAGAGATTGAATCAAATTTGTAAAATAACAGACAAATTATTCGTTTATATTTATAAAGTGTTACCGTGTGTATCTTTAGACATATTTGTGTGTAATTTTTAATAAAGAGGCATTTTCCAAATAAACCGGCTTTTTTGGAAAACCGTGTAATTAAATTCAACTTCCTATGTGTTTGACGTAAATGTCAGTCACTTTCTCTAACTGGTTTTCTTCTAGAAATTAGGGCTTATGACAAGACAAGATCCGAGCCAAGTCAGAAACATACATACATATATATATATATATATATATATATAAAGAAAATTTGAGCAAATGTGCCAATTTCCATAAATAAAAAAAAGCCCTAGCTTTAGTTCTGATTGTTCTTTCTTGGTTTCAAAATATGTATATTACTATGCTACATATTTGTTTATAATAACTTATAAGAATTATTATTATTCCCGTAATTAATGGTTTATTTGGAATTTGTTTCAAAAAAGTGAAAAAGGTCAAGCGATACGACACTATAGCCCATAAAAATTAATTGGGCCCACAGGTCAGGCCCAGTTTGTTGGCCTTTTTTGTAAATTGTGAATTGTCATTATTGACCTCACTTCGAACGTGTTCTCGGGGCAACTACGGAGGTAACCAACGGGGATAACATTGTCATTGCACAGACTCGGTTGTACGATCGTCTTCTCTGTCTTCTTCTTCTTCCAGTCCCGCTTGCGAGAGCAGTATATTCAAAATTCCCAACGGTCCATTCACGATCTCCGGCCAAATCCCAACCACTGAAATCGAGATTCACCGAAATCAACAGAAACCCTAGCAGATCGATTTCCCGCGTTCAGATCTCCCGAATTCTGCCCCTAAAGCCGATGAGTGAGGGGGCGATACCAGAACTGGAGAGCGATCTCTTGGATATCGCCGGAGGAGCAGACGACGACGCTTGGCTTCTACAGAATCTCCCCAGTGAAGGCGTTTCGGTGCTCTCTAATACTAGCGCTGCAAGCAAAAATGGTTACTTCAATTGCTCGCCGCTCCAAATCCCTAGGTCGAATCGTGCCCTTCATGTCCGTCTTCCACTCTCTCCAATCGGTAAGGTCTTCAATTTCTGGATTCGTTCTAGGTTTTGATGAGTTTTATTCCTTATTATACTTGTTTTTGGGTTAAATTAAGTATGTTCTCGGACACTGGTCCTCGAGTTATGTCTTTGTGTCGATATACCTGGTTTAGCTTATTGGCTAGTCGGATCAAATGTTCCTATTGTATCGCATTTATTGCAAAGTTGCTTGAATGTGGGAAATTTTGTTTCTTTCTTAATGGTGAACTTGTTTATCAACTTATGGCAACCTTTGATTTGTTTTGCTTTTTCTTTTCTCCAGGGGAAGTAATGGGTAACAAGACCATGGAGAAGTCGAGCCCTTCAGTTGTTACAGACAATGTCGATAGGGAGAATATTAGTGGGAACAAACTGGAATTGTCCAAGTTGAGTGTGGAGCGACAGAAGATGAAGAGAAAGAAGAAGACTGCTGGATTTAACTTGCGGAAGAGTTTGGCATGGGACCCAGCTTTCTTCACAGAAGAAGGTGCCTTTTACGGATTTCTCCAAGTTGCTATCTGGAATTGTTAGTCTTTGTTATACGAAGTTAACTCTTTGGTACTAAGATTTTCAATATGGTCGTGAACCAGGTGTCTTGGATTCTGTTGAATTATCGATTATAACTGGGAATGATTGCCAAACTGGCGGGGAGATGTTACCTACAATTCAAGAAGAGCGGAGAGACTCCATATCAGCTTCGAAACGTTCTTGTGATTCACCAGGACTGCGAGCAATGAAGGAAAACTTATTTAAGGAATTGCCTGTGAATAGTAAGAGCAAAGGGAAGAAGGTTGTGGGCGGTGTTTTGCCGAAGAATGCATCACCATCTAAACTTTCATCTTCATCGGTGAGCTATGAACATGAACTTATTTCAGTCTTTGCAGCTAAATTAGGGTCACTTTTTACAGTGTTTCCCTCCTGTGACCAAAACAATTTCGATGCTCATTTTGATATAAATGTTGAATATTTGTACTTCAGGCCCAAAGAAAGCTTCTTCCAGCTCAGGATGCTAGGAGCAGTTCCAAAAGCAGTGGTTGTCCAAGGCCTCATGCTGTTTCATCATATCCTTGTCTACTTACATGTGTTTGAAAATTACTTTATTAAAACGAAAAACTTAGGGCAATCACCTCTGCTTTTCTATTTATTTCTCTTTACTAGTTAACCTTAACTTCTTTGAACCCTTAAAAGACCTGCAAATGCACATATGGGAAACGCACAAAACAAGGAGCTGAGAGTCTCTAAGGTTTCTGCCATGAGATCTGATCCGCCTAAGATCACAAATACTGTGAAAAAGTATACTCAGGCGCCTAGCAAATTGAAACAAATTCAGTCCGTTCGATCAAGTATGTCTTATTAATCAAGCCATTTTGGACCTTGCATCTCATAGAGTTTTCTATTCTTCCTGCAAATGCTTTTAGCAATCTCTAATTTATATATGGGGTATTTTTTCCTTCTGATGCAGTTGGCAGTTCCCAGAGGAGCTTAGGGTTTACAAGCTCCTCAAAGAAAACCTCAAGTGCTCAAATTAACACAAAATCTAGCCTGGCAAGTAAATCATCAATTCCTCAACCCTCAGTTAACCAAGCTAGAAGAAACATGGTACCAATCTGCTGCCTTATGCCTGCCAATATAGTGAAAAAATAATGCTAAGAAACTAAAGATGGTATGCTCTTTAGAAGTTTCCAATCGGAAGTAACCTTTTATATTTTCTTGGACTCCAGATCACCAGACCGCCAGAAATTGCTTCAGAATCCAACTCACATCATTCTGTGGCTGTGAAGTTATCAGACAGGCTGATGACTACATCAGATTCGACTCTTCCAGTGCCCGGTCATGGATCAAACTTTCATTATTCTAGTTCAACTAATATTGCTGTGTCTGTTCCGGAGAGGTCTTGTAGTAGCTCCGAACATATGCAGTCTGCAGTTCCGCGAGTGCCAAGGCCATCAGGTTTAAGGATGCCATTACCATCAATTGGCTTTTTCGGTCAGGTATTTTGATTGAAAAGAAATGAAGTCTGTTAAGTTTTGGCCCCTTAACTAATTCTTGAGGTTCATGACATTCCCATCCTTATCCACTTATTCTTTTCTTTTGCAGTCAAAGTATCCATCACACGGTCCACTAGAAAAAAGTAGCCAAGCTCTTCCAAGATCTGATTCAGCTATCAATTATTCCTCGATTCCTACCTTTAAGAAATCTCAAGGAGCTGGAAACGTTCCCAGGGTTAACACTAAAGCTACGAGTGGAAACACCCGCAGTTTAGGCTCAACTACAGGTTTTTCTGCTCCTTCTAGACTTCCCCAACCTTCTCAGGAAAAGATGAAAGCGGAATTAGAAAGCATTCTGGATATGGAACTCAAGCTGTCATGTAATCATATTAGCACTGAGATCACTGACAGTCTGCAGCATCCAAGTGCCATTCCAGACAATGCTGACAAAGCACTTCTAGGCAATGCAGCACCGTGTAAGAAATCACCCTTATGTAGCAAATATAGTGAACAAGAAGATAAAGCATCTGATGGCTTGGGGGATGACATAAAGAAGTCTTGCACCACAGAAAATCATAGTGCTTTACTGGTGAAACGCTATCCAAATTTCAAAGACACCATGGAAATACAAAGACAACTTTTAAATGTGTTCCCACTCCCTGGAAATGAAGAGGAAGTTGGTATTTGCCTTTCAGGGGAGAAAGACATACTAGTTGTCAATCATTCAACCGAAAATGTTGCAAAGCAACTTGAGATTTCGGGTTCTTGTACTGTACACACAGCTTCCTGTGAGGTCTTTACACCAATTGAAAGCAATGTAGATGGTCTGTCTTCTCTAAGAAACCAGTCAGGTAATGCTGAACGTGCTTTAACTTCTTCAGGACCTTTGGAAGCCCAGGATATTACTAAGTCTCCTTACAACAGTCATCCAGAAAATATGGTGTCAGATTCTATTCAGTGTGACCATGACTTGGTGTATGATGGTCAAGCTGTGACACAACTGGACAGGACCTACAAAGTACAGGGTAGTGCAGAGGCAAACTGTAAGGCTGTTTTAGCTGATACTTTACCATATAGCAGTGAGCCAACTAGAGAATCTGAAGATCAGCATTTATTGTGCAAACTAGTCCCCGAGGTGAAAGGAGATCATGAGATAGATGTCATGATCAGAAATGAAACGGTTGATGAGGATGATGGCACTAAAATGCACATAGAGTGTCTTACTGAATCTCCTGTTGCTAAAAAGAATGTGGAACAAGTGAATATATTAACGCCGATCTCCCCTGAGGTCAGGATTGAGGATCAGACTCCAAAGCCATCTCATCAACCCTTCTCTGAGAGTCTAACGGCTGAAGTGTATAAGCAATCCAACTGTTGCAGCATTGCAAATAAATCTGAAGAAGGGGTTGGATTACCAATTGAACAATCTGACCAACTGGGGCCATCAGATGGTTGTTCTTCCTCAAATGAAGCGAATGAAGCAGCAGTTTTCTGTTCAAACGAGCAGTATGAGATTAACTCCGTGCAGAAAGGCATTGATTTTGTATTTGAGACAGAGCTCATAATTGACCACAATGAGTTCTCTGTCCCAAGAATCCTCAAGGAAAGATTTGAGTTCTCTGTCCCAAGAATCCTCAAGGAAAGATTTCTGGATGTTGAAGCTGCCCAGACAACCTCCAATATGTCTGAAAAAACCAATGCATTAGGAACTGAATTGAAGAGTTCCCCTACTTCTACCTTGGGAGATCCTTCCAACGCCCTTGGAACTGAATTGAACAGTTCTCCTACTTGTATATCAGGAGATACTGAGCTTCTAAGCAAGAGCACTGATCTGTCTAGAATGGCTGAATGCATACCAAAGCAGGAGTCAAACTCTGGTTCTGTTGAGCTAAAAACTTGTGTCAAAAAAGCTGAATGCAAGACAGAGATAATGATGAGAACCGATAAGGAGTCATGTGTGCAGATTACTGACCAAGAACTTAGGTCACATGAAGAGGAGGGAGTTCGAGCTGTAAGTAACTCTTCAGACCCTGAGACATTTGCAACCAGGGAGGAAAAATCAGGAACTTCAATTTCTACGGAGGAGACTGTTCCAGTTGGGGAACTTTTGCAGCCTAACGAGTTCGCTGTACTGAATGCTGACACAAGAATATCAGAAAACAATGTAGCTGATGCTCCTGAAATCAGCGGCAGCCCTAGAGCTGAGATTGTGAACGAGTCTAGCACATATTCCTCTGAAGACATGGATAAGATGAATCTACCGTAAGTAACCAGATTCAGTCTCTTGCCTGTAAGCTTTTTCTGTTCCTCAGGAACAGTTTAGTGCCAAGTTTTGTTAAGATTCTACTTGACCAAGATCTGTTACAGCAGGGATGCTAAGCTTGAGAAGAGGCCTGATCCACTTGTTGTAAAGCCTCCGCCAAATGCTGTTCCATTTTCCGATGAATGGTTAGCTGCAATCGAAGCTGCTGGAGAGGTAAAACTTTTTTAGTCCATAAGTATTTGCATGAAACCATGTTGACAAATCGCAGTCCCACTTGATATTGTTCCTTTGTGCAAAAACATTTTTTTTTGTCCATTGGGCTATGCCTCAACAGTTGTCTATTACTTCTGCAGGAAGTTCTCACTCTAAAAACTGGTCCTGTGCAACATTCACCGCCTGAGAAACCTACTCATGAGCCTGGTCCATGGTCTCCGGTACAATAGTCTCTCTTTCGTTCTACAAATCTCTCAATATCGTTGGCGCTTAACTAATATTACGGTGCTTAGGTTAGAAACAACGATGGCCGCAATCACGCCTACAATTCAACCATCAAGCTTTTGAAAGATAATAACCAAAGACTTTGAAACTTTTAAAACAAATCCAATGTAAATGGTCTGCTAGAATTTCTGTCAATAACAGACTGCTAAAATTGCAATTGTTTTAAAAGTTGGGTATGTAAATTATTAGCTTACAAAGCTTCAACTACCAATGGAAATACAGTATTTGAACCACAAGTCTGTGTAATTGTCATTTTCTTTAAAGGACTTAGTGAATTACAATCTCTGTGTAATTTTCAGGTGAAGCGGAAGAACAATCAAGGAGTAGGACCATTTGACTGCACGAAGTTCACCAACAAAGGTCTCCCACCGGCTTCTGATTGACGAAAGGTTTAATGCTCTCTTTTTTCCTGTAGCACATATTCATTCATAACTAATTTCACTACAAACTCTGACAAGCATACCACCTCATTTTGTAATCTGCTTCAATAAATATAACCAGAAAGGTCACTCAGATCTTTATATGGTTTGTTCCTTCAAATGTGTTGTCTTGTCTGCAGTTAAGTTTCTTCAGCGGGAAAATTTGTTCGGTGATGTATCATAGTCAGTATAGTACTTATCCATTTGGTCGATTACTCAGAAAGACATATTTTTCAGATAATTGCAGTAAACTCACATTGTCAGTTCATAACCTCAAATATATATTTGTCATGAAATATCTATCCTTTCTCTCTGTTCTTAATCCAAAGTCTCCATTTTTTATTTTTGAGTCTACTTGGTCCTCCACATATCAATCTAGACATTTAACCTCACATTTCTTATATATCCAAGTAAATGAATTTGTCTAACTTTCTACCATGATTTCGATGTTGCAGTGCCGTTTTCATGTTTATGGTGATTCTGACAGTGAACTTGTGTCTATGTTCATGTCAATTATTTTTAGTGTTCCAAAACTTTCTCTGTTTTCAGTCAGGTGCACCAAATGCAGAGTTCTTTTATTCATGTCAGGGTTTGATGCGACAGAAACATGAATATGAGTTTCAACAAATGTAATATAACAAGTACAGTTATATCGGCCAGTACAAGATCTTGGAGTCTGATCTATAACATATTACATTATACATGCTGAAACATTGTGGTGTCCTCAGATGGAAGATCTTCATGAGAAATTAGTAGAAGCAGAGACATCATCCTGTCCATTGTCATCTCCGAGGTTTTTGTATCTGAAAAACCAGGCACAGACCAGAAAATAGCAGAGATTGACAACACTAATGATGACCAAAACCCAGTAAACATTATCCACTCTCCCGTGGTTTATGTCGTCTGGTAACCATGAAGTTGTCCTCTGTATCAAATCTATAAGAGCAGTACTAACGTAGAAGGATATCCCAATGACCACTGAAGTCATTGATGTTGCAGTGCTCTTCAGTGATTCGGGGAATTCTTGGTAGCAAAGGGCTACATTTGCAGGAAAGGAAAAGGCTTCACATATTCCGGCTAACACAAGAGGAGGAAACAAGCATAAAACCGGCATGGGAGCAACTGATGACCCGATCACATGATGGTTTTGTAATATTTTCAGTCTCTTTGCCTCAACGATGGCAGAGACCGCCATGCTTAAGATGTTCAGGACATGGCCTATCCCAATTCGCTGAAGTAGTGTCAAGGGCTTACGGGTTAGTTTCTGGTACAAGGGATAGAGAAACCAGTTGTTCAGTATGAGAAAGACACATGTGGAGATCAGTATTATGACTTGGAGAGATCCAGCCGGGATTTTGAAATGTGGTCCAAGTTGGCGGTCCATGACCAGAGCTTGGAGGACCGTTAAGCTTATTAGCACCGCGATGGGTGTGCTTAGTAATATGGAGGCCGACCATAGAGGCAGAACTCGGACAACATCTTTGAAATCTTCAACTTGCTGAAC